ATCTGATCACAAGACATTAAATGACATAAAGAAAACTCTTATTTGTTATCCTTTAGTAGGTTGCCATCTAAAGAGAACATACATATTGGCCTATAAATGTACCTTAGGAGTTCATAATGTCTAGCCTCTAATTTTAGTGTGACATTGTTTCAACTGTTTTGTGACTGAACATCCCTAAGTATGGTGACACATATACATCACATAAGTTTTTTTTTTGGTACTCGGGATCGAACTCGGGTCCTTGTGCTTGTGAGGCAGGCAGCAGAACCACTGAGCTAAATCACTGGCCCCATCACATAAGTTTTTAAGAAAACTATAATTTGACTCATTTTCTCATGCTGGCTTGACATGTACCTCTTATCACAAGTAGCTGGAGTACGGCTGGGGATTTAGCTCAGTGGTTTGACCGCCTCCCTCACAAGCGCAAGGACCCAAGTTCGATCCCTGGTACCAAAAAAAACCAAACAATAAACAAAACCCCAACAAGTAGCTGGAGTGTAAGAGAAAGGCAGATACCTGAGTCAAAAAAGATCATTACCATAAATAATATCCTAGAAGACACCTGGAAGGCATGGATCTATACACCATGAAATAACAATGAGTATCAGTTATATAAAACCCTTTGTCCCTTAATTTTGTTTTGTACCAAGAGCATTTGAAATAAAACATTATTGTTTTCCCACAGAAAACTTAGACTATGACCAATGTATAGCTATCACAATGATATGTTTAGCGATGTATTTCTCACAAGGCTATGGAAGTTATTGGGGTCCCCTTTGTGAATAAAGGCTGGAATAAATTTTTTCCAGGCAGCTGCTCCTTTATTTACCAAGGGGAGTCCTGTCCAGTAGTTTTCCCAAGCCCAAGAGTCTTTATTTAATTATCTTAACAAATTTTTAGATGACCTGAGAGAGCCAGATCATAACAATTAACACATTATTTTGACCAATGAAAGATTCTCAAGTTATACATAAACAGCAATATATACTGTATTTGTAAAACCAGTTGACATTATTTGGATCATCTGGCAACCTGGGGGAAGCATGTCTTTAATTATATTTATCTGTAACTCACTAGCAGAGACAAAAGTCCAAATAAAGCTCAAGTTGGTTAAACATCCAAAAAATCACCATATAGCATTTTATAAGTCCACAGTCAACATTCCAAAGTCCATAACCTATCAGAAAAGCCATTTTTCTCCCCTACACACATAAATGATGAAGACCATGCCTAGGTGGGACAAAAGGTTCAGGTAGTTTTTGTTCTATCAAAGATTTGTTTTATATATTTGTCTACAGGTCTGTCTTATTAATAATAGAGAAAGCAGTCCAAACCTGTAGCTCAACTCTTAATGGAGGCTTAAGAAAGGGCTCTGACAGCATCGTTTCAGATCACTCTGAGACAGAGGATATCTGATGATCACTGACAGAGTTCCCCTTTCACCTCACTGAGGAGTCCAGATAGGGACAAGATGTGGAGATTTTCTGCTGATTACCCAGATGGGCTGTCAGGAGCTAGTTTCTTCTGAGGGACCTTCGGGTATCCACCAGAGAGTTGCCCTGGCCATGACCCTTCAGTTGTCACCTCAGTTTCTGCTAGTTCCATGCAGAGATCTGTCTCCGAAAGGAACCCAATGGCCTATCTGGTCAACATTCCACCCACCATTGGTGTCAGTGGGAGTGGAGATTCACCAGAGGACAACTGAAGAAACTCATCCTCTGCTTTGAGAGTGGCAGCTGCCCTAAAGGCAGTTACTAGCTGGCAGAGTAACACTGTTTGGCATTCTGTAAGGAACAGAGAAAAATCTGACTGTCTTCATCTGAGACGATTTCATAAGAGACTCATTTTACAACATTTTTAAGCAACTAAGTCCAAGTGCAACACATACAAAACAAGAATAAAAGGTAATTTTAACAAAAGACAATGCATAAGAAAAACAAATTTGTGAACATTTAAAACACACAGCTTAAAATTAAGACACTTTTGAGACAGCCCAAACGAAGGCCAGAATTTATGGAACAAAAACCAGAATCTGTGAGACAAAAGTTACAATCTATGAAGCAAGAAGACCAAAGTTAGAACCTGTGGAACAAAACCAAACTCTTACCTCCAGCCAGTAATCTCAGTGGGACCTCCAAAATGATATAGGGGAAGAGATGTAACTCCCACACCTGCTAGATATCCAAGACATGAGTTTGTGTTCTCTAAAATCAAAGAATGAATTCTAGGAACAATGGAGGTTAAGAGTAGGAAAAATTTATTGAGAGAAAGAAAGCTAAGAGATTCAGAAGGGGGACTGGAAAGTGGGTTGCCCTGTAGCTATATTATATATTAAATAATCTTAAAAAATCTGTCCTGTGATTTCAGAGTAAAGGAGACTAAAGAGATGTAACAATTGAGTACATTGCTGTGGTCTAAGATGAGAGCCGGTGGACTAAACAAGTACAGCGTCTGTAAAGGATACTGCTTGGACATCTGATAAAATTTGAAAGTGGGCCTGTGTTAGATAATAATATTTTATAAATGTTAAATTTCTTAGTTTGTCATATGGTCATGAAAGAGAATGTCCTTAGGAATATCTGCTGAAATATTTAGGAATAATGCTTATTAAAAGAAAGCTGGGCATGGTGGTACAACCTATAATCCCAGTACTCTGGGAGGCTGAGACAGGAGGGTCACAAATTCTAGCCTAGCTCAGGCAATTTATTGAGTCCCTGTCTCAAAAAATAAAAGACTGGGGATGTAATTTGATGTGAAGGCCCTGGGTTCATTCCCCGGTACAGGGGCAGGGGGATTGAGAGGTTTAAGGTATACTTAGGAGTAGAAAACTGTAGGGCAGAGGGAGAACGGATTATGGGACATAGCAAGCCAACCGAGAAGCAAAAGAACAGCTTGGTGTCCCTCGGACATCATCCCCTGTGAATCAGGCTAGTGCCGGAAATCACAGCTGTGCTTGTCTGTCGTCAGATTTGTGGTAGCTCTTGCAGGTGTCCATAGGAGGTGCCTTTGTAAGTGTGACTAGGGACAGGCATGAACGGGTCTTAGGCACTGCTGTGAGAAGTTAGTGATCTCAGTAAATATATACCCTATATATTTTTTTGGTATTTGTAGTTTTAGACTTTATTTTATTTTATTTTTTGTGGTAATGGGGATTGAGCTCAGGTCCTTGCACTTGCAAGGCAGGCAGCGGAACCACTGAGCTAAATCCCCAGCCCAGTTTTAGATTTTAATATGAAAGACTGATACACAGAAACTGGTTGATTTTAACATCCTCCAGGTGTTTATATAAAGATACAAATTTGAAGTTAATTGTTGCCCTTTTGAAGTTTCTAAATTGTTTCTAATATTCTAGGTTCTGTCCAAGTGGTCGCATGGAATGAACAGTACCAGAAATTGACAACCAGTGACCAGAATGGGCTTATCATTGTGTGGATGTTGTATAAAGGTACATTAGGAGGGTTGCTTCATCTTTCATGCACTGGGGTCTGCCAGTTCACAGTATGTGGATGGGGAAATGGGATCTGAGATTGACTCTTTGTAGCCTCCTGATCCAGTTGTGGCATTTCTGGATCTATTGCTGCCTTCTTTGCTGTTCACTTTGTTTCATTTTGAACAGTGACCCTGTATTATGAAATGATTCTGGCTGCACAGTGGTACACAGCCGTAACCTCGCACTCGGGAGACTGAAGCAGGATTGTGAGCTGAGGGTAGCCTGGGCTATATAGTGAGACCCTGGCTCAAAAAACCAAGGTGGAGGGCCGGGGATTCAGCTTAGTGGCTTTGCCGCCTGCTGAGCAAGCATAAGGACCTGAGTTCGATCCCCGATACCAAAAAAAAAAAACCCAAGGTGGGGGAGGAAAGTGAATTTGCTGACTGCTGACTTTCTCCGAAATGAATTTAGACAACAGAATAAATAATTTCTACTCAAGATAGCTCCCCTCCCCCAATTTCCTATATCAATTAGTTCGTGTGTGAGTGATTGCGGAGTTAGTTTACTAAATAAAAAACATTTATGAAGAAGTCAGAGGCAGTAATTCATTTCCTGTATTGGGCCAGGTAGCTTCCTTTTCTCTCACACATACAGACTGTATCATAGTCTCACCATTTGTGCTTGTTTTCTGTGAGGGGCAGAAGGGGATGCATCACTGTTACTAGAAATCCACTCATAATACATGTTCTCCTGAGGCCTGTAACTGTCATCTTCCAAAGGGAAGGGTACCTTAGTTTGCGTGTGCTGTTTTATGAAGGTCTAGGCTAGGCCATTCAGAAATTGTTAATTAAAAAAGATGTTGTGGTGGGCCAGGGATTTAGCTCAGTGGTTCCGCCACCTGCCCTGCAAGCGCAAGGACCCGAGTTCAATCCCCAGTACCAAAAAAAAAAAAAAGATGTTGTTGTACTTGAACTTTTAAAGTGTGTGTGCACATGCGTGTGTGTGTTTTTTAGGGTGGGATAGGGTATAATGCCAAAGTACGGTAGATTGGAGTAAAGTTCATGTTTCCAAGGTCAGCCTCCTCTGGGTCTCAGTCCTGATTCTCTTTATACCCCATTCTGACTGTTTATTCTGTTCCAGAAATCGTGGAAAGAAATACACGGAGACACAGAATTTGGGTAAAATAATAAAAGTTTACTTGCAAGCAGGCAGGACTGCCAGAAACTGTCAGTGTCCACGCTGATGTTTGTTCTCCTTCCCCTTTTATACCCTTTTTGGTCATTATCTTATCCCTAGTGGCCTTTGTTGAGTAAGTAAAAATTTCAGTTCTGGGTTTAATGGTTAAACACTGGAGGTTTCTGTTAATGGTTACAGCCATAAACACATGACAGTTAAAACACATATACTACAAATTAGCCCAAGCATTGCAACTTTGTTTTTCAGGTTAAGATGTTATCTATAGTAAAGCTACAGAACAAAGAGTCACATAACCTTCACTTTAAACAACAAGAGCAACGGGAAAAGCAAGTCTTAAAGCGATACACTACCTATTTTGCTTTTACAATTACTTTAATATTTAATCTACTAAGCTGTCTAAAACTTTTTCCCTATCAATTTTACATCATTGATTATTTGCCTGGCTGCAGGCCAGAGTTTGTCATATGAGGATGTGGTAAAACCTTAAAAAAACACAGAAATAAAGACAGTATAGCCTTGTTTTTTGCTGCTATTTTGGTTATAAGACAAATCACATCTCACTCTAACTCTGTATAGTTAAAATGTTTTTGTCATTCAGCATTAGTGACAGTATATCATCAGGGTAATATGAGCAGTTTAAGAATTTTTTAAAGTGGGCTGAATTTTAGCTAATATGCTAATATGCTTAAAAGGAATCATTGGAAAGTTTATGCATAGATACAAAGTTGTTGTTATTCTGATTTTTTCCCTCGATTATTATCTGAAGTGTATTCAAGTAGGAAAAGTTAGGGTTTCTCGAATGTCAGTTTTTTGGCTCTGCAAAAGCAAATGAAATTTGAGTGTTTTTTTTTTTTGACCTTCATATTGTTGTTATTGGTTTTTTTTTTTTGCTTAAATTTTTTTATTGGTACATTTTAGGTATATAATATGTTATCATTGGGATCTTGTACCTTTACATGATGCATCTTGGTTCTTATTTTTTCCCCATTCCCTGTCCTCCCTTCACCCCCTCCACCCTTCCCTATTTACAAAGACTTTGTTTCCATTTTTCCCTTTTCTCATAATTTTTCCTTTCCCCTTCCCCTCCCACTTCCCCCACCCCTTTAGACCTTTTCTTCCTATTTTAAATTATCAATTATTTGTTTTAATCATTTTAATCCTTATTTACACTTTCAGTTTCTCACACCAGAGAAACTATTGGTATTTACACATGTGTGTCCTATTTCACTAAAGAGGATGACCTCAATATCCATCCATTTAGCTATAAATGTCTCTAGTTTCTTGTTCTTTATGGCTGAGTAGTGCTCCATTTTATAGAAAAACCACATCTTCTTTATCCAGTTTCCAGTTGATGCGCACTTGGATGATGTGCGTTTACAAGCTTTAGCTATTACAAACTGTGTCACTATGAACATGGGTGCACATATATCGCTGTGGTATGATTCTTTTAATTCTTTTGGGAAGATACCCAGCAGGGGGATAGCTGGGTCAAATGGGACCTCTAACCCTAGTTCTTTGAGGTATCTCCATACTGATTTCCACAGTGATTGCACCAGTCTGCACTCCCACTAATAGTGGAGAAGGGTTCCATTCTCCCCACATCCCTGCCAGAATTTGTTATTGGTTGATTTGATAGCAGCCAATCTTTCTGGGGTGAGGTGGAATCCCAGTGTTTTCATCTGCATCTCTCGAATGACCAGTGATGATGAACATTTTTCCATGTGTTTATTTGCTGCTTTTACTTCTTTGTCTGAGAAATGTCTGTTCGTTTCAGATGCCCATTTTTGAATTGAGTCTTTAAATTTGAGGGGTCTGATTTTTTTCAGTTCTTTATATATTCTAGATAGTAGTCCTTTGTCTGAGGTACAGCTGCTAAAATTTTTTTCCCACATTGTAGGTTGTCTCTTAGCTCTGTTGGTGGTTTCTCTTGGAGTACAGAAGCTTTTTAATAAAATGAGATCCCAATTCTTGATTCTTTGTGGTAGTTCCCATGCTACTGAGGTTTTCTTCATAAAGTCTTTTCCTATGCCAATGTCTTCAAGAGTGCTACCTAATTTATCTTCCAGCAAGTTTAATGTTTCTGTTTTAATATTTAGATCTTTAATCCACTTCGATCTTAGTTTAGTGTGCGGTGATAGGTATGGGTCTAGTTTTAATCTTTGGCAGGTTGAAATCTAGTTTTTCTAACAATAGGCTATCTTTCCTCCAGTGATGGTGGTTGGCTCCATTGTCAAAGATGAGGTGGCTGAGTATGTCTGGAGTTGTTTCTGCATCTTCTAATCTATTCCACTGATCCTTGCATCTGTTTCTTTGCCAGTACCACACTGTTTTTATCACAGTAGCTTTGTAGTATAGTTTCAAGTTGGGGATTGTGATACCTTCAGTCATGTCTCTGTTGCCTAGAATTGCTTTTGGTATTCTAGGTCTCTTCTGGTTCCAAATGAATTTTTGGATTGTTTTCTCTAGTTCTGTGAAGTGTATTGTTGGAATTTCAATTGGCATTGCACTAAATCTATATAGTAGTTTTGGAAGTATGGCCATTTTACTATATTGGTTCTTCCTACCCAGAAACAAGGGATGCCTTTCCATTTTCTTATATCCTCCTCAATCTCCTTTTTCAGAGTGCTGTAGTTTTCAGTGTAGAGGTGTTTTGCTTCCTTTGTTAGATTGATTCCTAGATATTTCATTTTTTTGGATGCTATTGTGAAAGGAATTGTTTCCCTAATTTCTCTCTCAGTGAGTCTGTTATTTGTGTGTTTTTTGAGTGTTGACCTTGTATCCAGCTACTCTACTGAATCTGTCAATTAAGTACAGAAGTCTTTTGGTGGAGTTTTTTGGATCTGCTATGTAAAGTATCATATGGTCAGCAAATAATGACCGTTTAACTTCTTCCTTTGAAATTTTAATTTTTAATTGACAGCATAAAAAGAGAAAGAAAGAATAAAAGACAAGGGTGTTTGTTGTATTTCTCTGATAATCTTCTTTTTTTTTTTGGTACTGGGGATTGAACTCAGGTCCTTGTGCTTTCAGGGCAGGCGGCAGAACCACTAAGCTAAATTCCCAGCCCTCTCTGATAATCTTTGAAGCAATTTTTGGTTAAGGCTTCAGTTAACTTTTCATTTTGTTTACTTTGGATAAGAAGCTTTTAAAGTTTAGGGTCCCAGGTTGTAGAAAACTTTGCAGTTGTTTACCCCACATATACTTCATGGAATGTTATCAACTCTTAAGTACCATTTACTAGATAAGAAAATTTTGACTAGTTTTCTGATTGCTGGAAACAGGCTCTTGGTATGAGGAGATGATCAACAGTCGGAACAAATCAGTGGTTCGCAGTATGAGCTGGAACGCCGACGGCCAGAAGATCTGCATTGTGTATGAGGACGGGGCTGTGATCGTCGGTTCTGTGGATGGTAATGCATTCATCGGAGGACTGAGATCAGCATTTAGCTGACTTTTACCTTAGAGGTTTAGATTATCATATGTTAGCATTCCAGCTGAAAAAGACATAAAAAGAAAAAACCGTTGACATAATCTGATGACATCTGAGAACCACTATAAAATTATCTTTTGATTTCCTATAATAGCACTGAAAAAAGTAAATTATTTTCACAGCATTATTTTAAAAATTGTTCATTATATAATTTATCTTTATATTGGTTAGATTATATAAATCTTGGGAGGCCAGTGAAAGCTTTTAAGAATGGGAATAATGTGATCAGATTTGTTCTTTAGAAACATCTTTGTGACAGTAATAGGAAGAATGGAGAAAGGAAAGATAGTGGGCAGCTGTAGCAGTCAAGAAATTGCTCTGGTTGTTCAGATGAGGGAAGATGCTGGATGCTCCTGAATCAGGGTAATCAAGGGAGGTGGAAGGAAGTAGACCAGAGATACTCAGGGGGTGGCATAGAAAGGAAATCATCCCAACTGGGGATGGGAGAATGCAGGTGACTGTAGGCCTGTCTGTAATTTCAGCTTTGGCAGCTGGGTGGTGGTGATGCCTTTCATTGAAGTAGTAGGGATTTTAGGGTAAGAGTGAGTGGCTTTGAGGTAGGGTTTCTGTTTTGGACACGTTCATTTTGTTACCATGAGACATCCAGGTAAATATATCCAGACCGTAGTTAGCTCTGTATGTCTGCAGCTTGGAAATGTCCAGGCTAAAGGCATAATTGTGGGACTCACCAGCATATGCATGGTAATTTAAACAGGAAATAAATGAAGAGATCTAAGGGCAATTTGTGAAGTTAAGAGCCAGCAACATCTAAGAGATAGGCAGAAGAGAATTCTGTAAAGGATACCAAAAAGTAATAGTATTGAGGTAAAGGAATCCATAGCCCAGTGGAAGTCAAGAGAGCTTCGAGAAGGCGGGGTGGTAAAAACAAAAAAGTAGTATCGATAGGAAATAGCAACAGGCAGTGGCTGAGCTCCGTGAAGGTGGATTCCGTGGAGTTGTGGAGAAGCTCGATTGGGAGGGGCAAGGGGTTAAGGAAGTGGCGAGGCAAATGGAAACTCAAGGGGTTTGGTGGGGGAAGGAATGATAGAAACAGGAGGATAGTATCTGGGGGAACACAGGATCAAGGGAAGTGTTTCTTGTTTTGTTTTGATTTGAGGTGGTGATTGAGCTTTCAGTGTTTATATGAAAGGACCCGGAGAGAAGAATTTGATGAGAAAATCAGAATAATTAATAGAGGGAGACCTTTGCAAAGTAGGAGGGAGTTAGACCATAGAATAGGTGGAGGGATGTGCTTCAGCTGCGGGGGAGTGTTTGAGGAGATACCGCTTCCTTTGGTTAAGAGAGCAAAGCCCAAAGGATATGTGTGGAGCAGCTATGAAATTTCTTTTTAGGGAGTTTATTTTCTTTCAAAGTAGAGGGTGGGCTTATCTGTTAATTGGGAAAGAGGGAGAGAATTTGAAACAGCTGTTATTGAAAGTGTCTCTAAGGGTATTCAGTGTACATAAATACTCAGTGAATGTTCATTAACTAAATAAATTGAAGAGCCGAGTGTGGTGGCACATGTCTGTAATCCAGCACTCAGGAGGCTGACACAGGAGGATTGCTGTGAGTTCAAGGCCAGCCTTGGCTACATAGTGAGTGTAAGACCAGCCTGAACTACATAGCGAGATCCTGCCTCAAAACAAACCAACCAACCAACAAACAACTGAGTAAACTGAAGACTACATGAATGCTGTGAAGACTGTGATAGCTCTTTAGGGATAAAAGATTTTGAAAGCAGTTGTTGGAGGATCATGATTCTGAACTTGCAATAACTATGTTTGTGTTTTGTTTTAGGGAATCGTATTTGGGGTAAAGAACTGAAGGGTATACAGCTATGCCATGTAGCATGGTCCACAGATAGTAAAATCTTACTTTTTGGAATGGCAAATGGAGAAATACACGTTTATGATAATCAAGGAAATTTTATAGTAAGTGTATATATTCATTATTTCTGTTTATATCCTTTTATATGATTATATTATTATATATGCTTCATATATACACATATTTATGATGGTTTATGTAATCTTCGTTTTTTTCTTTTTTCAGTCATCAAAAATTACTATTTTTTAAAATTAAAAACAAGTCTTGTTTTCTTTAAGGCAATTGCTGTGATGTTAAGGTTGTAACTTTCAGTTCTGATTTTCTGCTAGTTGCACAGGGCAGGGTGTTAGTGCTTTGAGGACAGTCAGAAGGGTTACATCAGTGTGAGCTTCAGTGCCCTCTCATGCCTGGAGCCAAAGTTTCCATGCAGATACCAAGCATATTTTTGGAGAAACTAAGAGGTGTTGAAGAAAGAGTGGGAGACAAACTGTAAGGAAGAAAAATCCATTTCTGGAAAGAAGCTAAAAAAGAGTAGGCTCAGGTAGCATGATCCAGAGAACAGTTTTGGCTCTGCAAGATTTGGCTGTGGCAGTTCTGGCTTTAGCGAGGATTAGCATACAACATAAATTTACTCACTGGTGGAAGCAAAGTCCGTAACTTTTCCTTGACACTTTGCTGTTTTCAAAGTACTTTCATATACTTCTTTTTGTTTGAGTCTCATAAAAACTGAGTATTTTTATTACTTTACACATGAGGAAGATGGAATGTTAGTGATTTGTTTAGAGTTGGTAAACCAGTAAGTGATGAATCTTGCATTTGCAACGCGATTTTGAGATTCTGTTTTCAGTGTTTTCCTACAATTCTGCATTCATATCACTCTGTTTTCAAATGCTAACATTAAACCTGGCCACTGTCGCCTAGATTAAGATGAGGCTGAGTTGCTTGGTGAACGTCACCGGAGCAATCAGCATTGCTGGGATTCACTGGTACCATGGCACGGAGGGCTATGTGGAGCCGGATTGTCCCTGCCTTGCCATTTGCTTTGACAATGGGAGATGCCAGATAATGAGGCATGAGAATGACCGAAGTAAGTGAGCTGTTTTTTTTTTAGCATTGGAGAATTAAAAAATATTTTGAGAATTGTTCTTAAGATCACAAAGTGCTCTGGGCTGAGTGTGTTATTATCTCATTGTTTTGGTGCTGATAGACCCTGTTCTGATAGATACGGGCATGCATGTGGTCAGTATCCAGTGGAACCACACTGGCAGCGTACTGGCGGTGGCTGGCTCCCAGAAAGTGGTCACTCAGGACAAAGATGTAAACACGGTGCAGTTCTACACTCCGTTTGGTGAGGTAAATGTTTTAAAGTTTTATCTTCTTTTCATTTGAAGGTGTACTGGTAAGGGGGGGGGGCAAAAAGAACAGAGGAAAATGGTATACATTTGTCCTGTTTTCTTTAGGAACATTTTGAGTAACAGTCTTGAGATACCAAATGTATGTCTGAATAATGTCTTCATACTATAAGTCTTCATTGTATTTTATCATAGAATTTTTTATAGTATGTCCATTTAGAAAACTGAAAGGTGGACATAATAAATCACTGTGGAGTGGTTAGTGTACTTTTTTCTGTGATCTGAATGTGTATCTCTTTTCTTTTCTTTCCTTTTTTTTTTTTTTTTTGGTAATGGGGATCGAACTCAGGTCTTTGCGCTTGTGCCGCAGGCGGCGAAACCACTGAGCTAAATCCCCGGCTGTATCTCTTTTCACAGCTGAAGTTTACATGGGTTTTAAGTGTAATGTATTTGTTACAAGTTCATTTTTCTGACTTTTAATGTGGTACTTTAAATGTGCTTAGATAGTAAACATTTATCTATCTGTCCTTCCCCCAAAACTGCCAATATTTTAATTTCTTGCAGGTTAATCAATTATTTTAAGAATACCTGACAATAATCAACCTTAAATGATACTACATTAAAATATAAACATTGGGCCAGGGACTTAGCTTGTGGTCCTGCTGCCTGCCTTGCAAGCGCAAGGACCGGAGTTCGATCCCCGGTACCAAAACCAAATAAACAATGTTTTCATAAGTGTATACAGTGTTATTCTTCTAATGGTATGATTAATAAATTTAATTTTAAAGATAATTTTCTAAAGAAACACTGGAACGTTCAAATAGAATTAACATATTCTCATATATATATGTGAACTTTAAAAGACTTAGAAAATGAGAACTTATTAATAACTAAGCTTAATATATTTTTACAAATCTTGTTTTTCAGCCCTAAACTGTATTTTCTTCCTTTTGTATACTTTGTGGGTTTTTCTAAATTCACTGAACCTACAATGATGTGTGTTTTTGGTGAGATGAAAATGTCTATACCAGTTGGTTTAATATTTTAATGTGGATATTTTAATTCAGTGTTCGTATTTTATGTATTTGATGATTTCTGTCGGGAAGGAACGGCGTCGTATCGTGCTTTTGAATCACCGTCTCACAGTTTCCTCGCGGAGTGTGCTGTACAGAGTAGGTTTCTGTGCGCCGTCGGCTGGCGGTATTTCTGGTAGATGTAAAAGCTAAGGAAAGCAAAGGCATGGTGTTAAGGATCCCTAATAGTTAGAAATCTGGATTCCTGTTGAGCCTTTCTCGGTTATTTGGTTGGTTGATGTCTTTCTCTTCCCTGTTCAGCCCTCTCCGCGTAGAGAAGCGTGGTGCTCGGGCCTGTGTGCGCCGCCTCCGAGCGGTGTGCACTGTGAGCTGAAGCCTGTAAGCAGTGTAGTGCAGCTGCAGCCAGGAGTGCCAGTCAGTTCCATGCGCCAGTGGGGGCTTCATTTTCGGATCAGGGAGCGTGAAGATAGAGAAGACACTTGACGGAAGGTACCTCAGCGGGAGAATACGCTTTGGTCCCGGCCCGGGATGTCCTGGTTCCCGGTGTTTGCGCCATGGGCCTGGCGAGCACAGCGTATGCAGTCAGGTCGACCTGGCCTTGAATCGCATTTCCAGTGAGGCTTGACTTAGAGAAGTTATTTAACCCGAGGCGCAGCTTTTTTCTGAAATAGGGCTCACACCTCGTGGTGGGTGTAGGGACTAATGGCGGTGAGGCTGCTGAGGGTGCACTTGGCCAGTGCTGGGCCTTTGCTGAATGCTTAGGAAAAGCGAGCTCTGTGTCCTCTCTGCTGCCACCGCCTGGCTGGTTTGTGCAGCCGGGCGCTGCGCCTGCCCTCTGCGCAGGGGTCGCTGGCAGGGGCACTATTACTGGGGCTTGGCTGGTCCTTTTTGTTCCATTTAGGCAGCAAGATAGACCCTGCGAGGTTCAAGTTTGGTTTTTTTCCTCCTTTGGTTTCCCTGGCCCGAGGACGTTTAATACATTTGTCTTGCACGTCACCCTGCTGCAGTGTAGTACCGCAGAGCGGGTAATTTACAGTGAACGGACGTCCACTTGCGCCCAGGTTGGGAGGCCGAAGCGCCGCTTATCCCCCGGCGAGGCGTCGGGTGAGCGCCGACTTGCTGCTTTATCACGTGGTACAAGGTGAACGGGTAAAGAGAAAGGGCGAGAAAAGGACACGAGGGGCTGAATTCACCCTTCCGTGGTGACGTTACTCTCACTCGCCTCTTCCAAGTCAGTTCAGCGTGAATCCGTAGGCACCAACGTGCACAGCATAGCAGTATTGGATCTGCCTTAGAGGTCATCTGGTTAGGAACGGGGCACCGGTGCACTTAACGAAATGCATAGGACCATGCTGGTCAGCCAGGTAAGAATTTCGGGTTAAAAACATTTGTGCTTTGTATGGCCACATTAAAAAGTGTATTCATATACTCATTCATTTATCAAGTGTTAGCGTAGGAAGAAATTAGTTTGCACGTGCATTGACTTGCCAATCCGTGTGTACTGAACACCTGCTTTCCAGTGGTCTCTGGTGTGGAGTGAGAGCTCTCGGGAGTCGGGGCTTGATGTTCTGGACACTTAGAGGGCGGGAGAATCCGGGCTCATTGAGGAAGCACCGCTGGGGTTGGCGCGGGGGACAGGGCGGGCGGGGCGAGGACGCCCGATCCAGGCTCAGGGCCTGGGGCTCCTGAGCGCCTCGCGAGTCGCACACAGAGCCGTGGCTGGATAGGGGCGCTCAGCCAAGAGCAGTTTGGGGCACTGTGTCCCATGCTAGAGAATGTGCTGATTGTGGGTAACTATTGGTTTTAAAGAATTACTAAGCCTTATTTAAAGCAGAGGAGATGTGGTCAGCTGTGTCTCCATAAAGATGGTTGTGGCAGCAGCGTAGGAATGGCACCTGCGGGTGGAGGGGGAAGAAGGAGAAAAATAGACGGAAAGCTGTCTGCCCCTCCCCCCGTCCCCCCAGTCAGGGGAGAGACAGCTGTGGGGAACCGAAAGGGGCAGAGGATCTGGCTTGGTGACTAGCTGTGGCGGATGAAAGGGAAAGGCGTGACTTCAGGAGTGAATTTATAGTTTACTGGCCCTATAAAAAGTCCAACTTTTTGCCACTCTAAAATTGGGGTGTATCTTATAATCAAAGTTGTCATACTTTAATTACCAGTGTGTTTTCTTAGTTGTGCATAAAAGAAAAGATACATAATTCAGTCTAAGGCATCTTAGATTTGATCTAATGTGATATTGAATTTTTTGGTTATAGGCTGTAAATTTTTCTATTATATGCATGTTTTCCTTTATAAAATTAAAAGAAAATGATTTTCAAATGGCAGTAACTCTTCACAAAGTAGTTTTCATGCTATTTTTGATCTTGATGAAGTGTTTGGTGGTAATTTGCTGACTGTGAGATGTTAGAGTAAACATATATTCTTTTCCAGCATCTGGGTACTCTGAAGGTTCCTGGAAAGCGGATGTCTGCACTCTCGTGGGAAGGAGGTGGGCTGAAAATTGCTCTGGCTGTTGATTCCTTCATTTATTTTGCAAACATTCGACCTGATTATAAGGTATAAGTGTAGTTATAAAGTGTTTTAACTAAATAATTTTGTTATAGCTCAAAATATATTCATAGCTGTTTTGTTTCATAAACTAGCAGAAAGGAGGCTTTCTCTGTGTGTTTGTGAAGAACTAGTATAATAGTATAATAGCAAACACTTCTCGAATACGCTGCATAGTTACATGCATACTCTGCATGTGTCAGGACCTAGGAGGAAAAGGTCGATGACTCTGGGAGCAACTGAAGGGTTACTAGAGAAATATAGCCTGGGCTGAGGGATACAGCAGAGGAGATAAAGCAGGCACCCAAGGCTTGCAATGTGAGATAGCAGCACCAGCCCTGAGTCCAGAGGGAAAGATGAAGGACCAGTGTTCCCAGAACCCGCGAGAACTATGGCTGTGCCGAACTAGCCAGGCAGGGAGGGCTTGGGGGAGCGAATACTCCCAGTCATCTCTCCGCGGCTGTGCCTTCTGCATCTTTTCTCTAAATCTTAAACTATTTTAAAGACACAGTTTATTTTAGAAAGTAATTGTGGTATGAAAGCTAAACACAACTTACTATTAATAGTGAACATAATCATTTTATCAGCAATCAACACTGATTTATTCAAAACCACTTACATATATCCTTGGAGAACGAGCAGGGGAGGCTCTGAGTGTACAGATCACACCGCAGTGTGGAGATGAGTCTAGAACAGTTACAGCCAGGGGATTTGTGCAGAGCTGCTCATGAGAGGAAGTTGGTGGGAGCATAAGCATGGTTTTCTTCGTTTGTTTTAAATAAGCCATGAGAAAGATTTAACTTTGAAACAAATCCTATTAACAAGAAGATAGAAAAGCAAAAAGCAAAGCACTTGTCTTTTGACTTTGGCTTGGGGACCTGGAATTTAGACTTTGGGCGGGGATCATTCTACTTATTGTCCTTCCCCAAACCCCTTCCTGCCAGTCCCAGTAGCTGTAGTAACTACTGAAAATTTTCTCCACTGAAGCTTAAATTTTACAAATTAATGTAAGAAATTAATTTTATTCTTACAGCACATTCTTTGTTTTAAGAATATTTTTATTATTACTTTAAGGTTTGTTATTTTAGTGATAGAAGATATTAAGCTGTAGGTGCAGTCCTGTCTTCTATTTCTGAAGAATATATTTTGTGAAGTGATAAATCACCTAACTGAAATATTTCCAAAATAAAATAGAACAGTACGATTTTTCCTTCCCAAACTAAGTATTCTGTCCTCCTTTCTCTCTCCTCCCTTCTTTCCCTTCCTCCTCCTGTTCTTCCTAGTGGGGCTATTGCTCAAATACTGTAGTTTATGCGTATACCACGCCGGATCGTCCTGAGTACTGTGTTGTCTTCTGGGATACAAAAAACAATGAGAAGTATGTTAAATATGTGAAGAGTCTCATTTCTGTTACCACCTGTGGCGATTTCTGCATTTTGGCTACGAAAGCTGATGAAAGCCATCCTCAGGTAGGTATTCTTCAGTGTACTGAAGCACAGGTAGGTCAACAATTGGCAGGACTGGGCTGGAGTCACCTACTGTACCAAGCACGGCCTGGATGCTGGGAGATGCGTAGCTGAGCGTCGGGCCTGGACTGCAGATGCTGGGCCTTGTGTCCTCCAACCCCCTCTCTCCCCAGTCAGCCAGGTGTTGGCAGTTCATGTGACTGGGTCAGTTCTAAAGTTTTTGTCTCTGAAATATGTAAAAAGCACCATATTCTTTTTCCAAGTTAAAATTCCTCAAGGAAATAGAAATAAAAAGTAGCTTACAATTATTTGTAGTATTTTTGTAAATAAACTTATTTTAAGTAATGGGAGGATAAATTATATCTAATATATATTTATATTTATCATTTAGTTTATGAAATTAGACAAATTTTAATTGAGATGCTGAAAAAAATCTATGAAAATAGACAGAGAATTGCTTTAAGAGTGATATTCAGGATTCAGAAAACCCTCTTAAGTAGGAAAGTATTAGTCTGAGATACAGAAAAAGTGCCTAAGTGTGAGAAAAATGAAGTGATCACCTCAGAATCATATGATGCAAAGTATGCATTGTGCTTGATCATCTTCTCATGCAGTGTTAGTTACTGCTAATTGCTTATATGTGTTATTTTTACTGTATTGGATCATATCCTTTCTAATTGACTGAATTTCTCTGAATCTCTCATGTCATTTATATATTGCTTCAAAGGAGGAGGATGAGACGGAGACCCTTGGCGCAATGGTAACACGTTGTTAGCTCTTCTACAGCTGGTCGTGGGTGCAATGAGTTTTGATGTTGCATTTGATCAGGAGCTGTGAAAGTGTAAATGCTGGAAAGTATCCAGTGTAGTGGTGTTTCTTAAACGTCCTCTCCAAAATCATAGTGTTCCATTGGGTTAAGAACTCTGCCTTAGGGCCGGGGATGTAGCTCAGTGGTTCCACCGCCTGCCTTGCAAGCGCAAGGACCGGAGTTCGATCCCTGGTACCAAAAAAAAAAAAAAAAAAAAAAAATCTGCCTTGGTTGAATTTTAAATTATGTTTTTTTAAAAAATAGTTAAAGCTATAGATTATTTGTCTGCTATTTGTCTGCTATTCTTTGCACCTAAAATTTGTATCAATTATTTACCAGTTAGTGATACTTGCAAAAAATAAGCACAATTATCTACTAAGCATATTTCTTCATTGTTCATAAGCAAGAATTCTGATACCCTTTTTGTGTTATTTGTCCACAGTTTGTGCTAGTTCTTTGTAACTCCATTGGCACACCCTTGGATCCCAAGTACATTGATATTGGTAAGGAAATGCTAATGTTTATCTCCTATCCAATCAGGTTTCATCTGCCCACTAATTAAAAAAACCTAACAATAGTATCAGTTAGAATGGTCTCTTTAAGGTGAGGTTGACTGTTTCCTGGTTGTCAGGTCTAGTGCCCATTTATACCTATTATCATGGTAGAATTGTTATTATTATTTTTTGTTACCAGGGATTGAATTTAGGATCTTGCACTTGCGAGGCAGGTGGCAGAACCACTGAGCTAAATCCCCAGCCCCTCATGGTAGAATTATTAATGCACCATTTCACCCTCAAAAGCATACTCTTTAAGATAGTAAATTATGTTTGTGGTATCTGAAATCCAAATAATTTCATAACTGTCATTGCCATAATTTGCTTTGAATGGGAAATACAATTGTATGGGAATTGGTATGTGATGTAATGATTAGTAGATAATAAACTGAGGATTAAAGAAAGAATTTTGCTATTAAATTACTTTTATTATTAATGAACCACTTGTAAATACCTCTCTTCCATAAAACTTGCTTGTAAAAGGGAGTTTAACCTTTCCAGTTTTTTTTTTTTTAATGAAATTAGTGTATTAATAGGGATAGCTTTAAAAGTTTCCCCTTTCCTTTTCAGAGGAGATTGGTTGGTTTGGCTTTGTACCTTTCCCTCTGTCCAATAGCTATGAAAGTCACCCATGACAAAAATTCCAAGTCTCATTCTAAGAAGTTTGTTAGAAATCATTAACAAATGTGTTGTCATTTCACTGTAATTTCTAAAAGTGATGGTTTTCTTTTAAAGTGTATAGTGCTATGTTGGATATGGTATGATGAAAACTACTTGATCTAAAAATTAAAAACCTGTTGAATTTTCTGATCCTGAGAACTAGTCATTTTTTTTTCTAGATTGGACATTTAGTCTTTAATAATGTTAATGTCGCCATCTAAATTTTTGCAGTTTGCTAAGCTCTTGGGGTGATTCAAATAAATGTGAGAAATATTTCCTGGCTTCAAAGATTTTATACTCCATGTTTAGTTTTAGTGTCTTGGTAGCTTGATATATTGCCTTATGTTCATTGTTGCATATCTATGTCTCTATATTTTTATATATACATACATATATTACTGTTCTTCATTAAAAGGCTTAGCTTAAAGTTATTATAACCCTTGTCATATCAATGTCTTTCATTTACTAGAAGTTAACAGTCTTTAGGGGGTAAATCCTGTCAATTTTTAGATCTTCTTCTATTAATATAAAAAATTTTAACATAGAATCATATGATAGGGTTAGCTTCAAAATAATTTTTATTACAAGTAGAGTAGTTTTAGAATAAAGCATAATGTAAATACCCCGGCTTCATAAAACAGCGAGTACTTAAGGGCATGATTGTTTGTATATTTGAGTCTCAAAACTTTTTTTGCACTCTTGCTGGCTGGAAATTTAACAAACAGTTCTTTCATTGATCTACAGCACACATAGCCAAAGACTCAACATTTTGTTTCATACATATTCTGTTTCTTTTTAAAGTTTCTATGCCAGATTTTCAGGAGGACTAGAGGCTAAAACAGCAGTAATGAAAAGCATGTGTGGCTGGCACGACTCTGGAATATATTATTTTTGTTTTGCCATCTGCTGTTCCTCCTGACCGCCCGTGTCGGGGCTCTGAAAAGAGCTTGCACATCATCATGGAGGATGCCGGCGGGTCTCTGTGGCCCCGGGTAGGGTTATGGGGCCCTCTTGCTGCTCTTCTGCGGAGCCCTTTAGTATTCTCAGGTATGCTGCGGGGTCCTGTAGGTATTCTGTCTGAAGAACTTCTTACCGCGGGCTGTAATGGTTGATTTTCTTGTTGGTCTTTCCCTTTAGACTTCGAACTTTTAAAAGATCTGTGTGTAGTTAGCTTCTGTATTCCCAGTACCCGGTACTTTGATTGGCCCATAATAAGCACTTATTGAATTTGTTGAAAATATTTATTTTCTCTCCTATGTAGAACAAAAGTAATAATTTCAGGTTGGGAAGGGGATGTGGCTCAGTGGAAGAGCCTGGAGCAGTGATGGAGAACATCTTAGAGAGAGCACCCAAACTGTAACTGCAAACCCACTCACTCATCACAAAGCCAGCACTGCAGTGAAACCTGCTGGGCGATGCTGAGCAGATTGGCTTGTGTGCTGATGGAGGGCCCTGTGTGCCCGCTGCAGCGTGCCTGCCGTAGGTTCGCCCCACTGGCCTAGAGTGTGTGAGGCCTCAGCACTTACAGAAAGTGATTATTTGTTTAACAAACCATTAACAAGTATGTACTGTTTGAGATAGTATAGGGGCCACTGGAAGGCATAAGAAATGATGACACTTCTTACACATGTCCAGACAAATAATCAGCGAGATGTAGTCAGTCAGTTGAACAGTGGCTTAGTGGTGACCTGGTACAAGCCAGGATCCTGTAAGGTGCTGTGTAAACTGATGTTGGCTCATAGGAACGTGTGCTTAGAGAAGGCTGCTCTGGTCCGAGCTTTGAGGGTAAGTGTTTCTTCAGGCGGCGTGTTAAGGAGGCAAGCCAGTGCTGGCCAAGGATCGAGGCGTGGAAGTGGTCAGAGGGCCAGGTGGTTCGTGCCCCAGCACTGGCGCAGCACACGGGCCGCTTTCTAGTGTGGGTCTCCAACCCCTGCTCTCAGTTTCCACATTGCAGAGAAGGGTAGTTTGATGAGAATGTTTCAGTGCAGTTTCAGTTTACCAGCTCTTTTTAAAGGGCTGAGAAATTAGTAAGTATGGAAGAGGGGGAGGATTACAGGTGTAGGCATTTATTTCAGGCCTCAGCATTAAAGTGTGACAAGCAGGTTTTATTTATATTTGAATTCCTAAATTGTTTTAAATTATTTCACATCCTGCCTTGGCTAGTAACTACTACTTATTAGTGTCACAAAGTTCAATTAATGAAAGGATAATTATTTAAAACTTTTTTCCTAATAATCTTTCTTTTTCCTAATAATCTTTCTGGATATTTCAAATTCTTTCTTTCTAGATATTGAATAGTTGGAAGGATATGAGGTGCTTTTATTCAGGAGATGTTCCTTTCCTAAAAAGTTCTCGTAGGATTTGGTCATCTTTTTCCTAGAAGATTGGTCTGCTGGAATGAATCTTTTACTAAAGATCTATCAAAATTTATATAGATGCCCTTATGTATCCCTGTGAATTTACTGAAATTACTACTATATTGATTTAAAAGAACATGTATTTCAGATTTTGTTTTTGGTTTTTGTATTGGCTGGAGAATTTCCATATAGATTGTATTACAAAACCTATGTAGATTATAATTAAAAAGTTGAAACAATAAGAACAACCAAGCCGAATGCACACCCTTGCGAGTTCTTCATGAGGGGCTATATGCTGTCAGGTCCAGAGCACTGACCTGGGCCAGAGGAACTGGGTTCGTGTGCAGTTCTACAACTGTTTAATGGCTCAGTTTCTTCATCTGCCACGTGGAGAAGATGCAGTAATGCCTGCCTGACAGGGTGGTTGTAAGCCAGTATAAGTACTGTACTGTGTTTAGAAGAATGCATGGCATGAACTTTAAAAATATCAGTAAATACTGACTTGTACAGTCATTAAGAACTGCCAGGCACGGTGCTGTGCTTTATATATTTTTTTCTCTTTTAAACCTCAAAATGACTAAGTTTGGCATTATCATTATCTTCAATTTATAAGAAGTAATCAGGCTCAGAGATGTCTTACTTTTCTCATTGCTGAGACAAAACACCTGGCACCTAAAGTTAAAGGAGGAAAGGTTTATTGTTTGTTTGGTTTTTTTTGGTACCGGGGATCGAACTTGGGTCCTTGCGCCTACACAGCAGGTGGCAAAACCACTGAGCTAAATCCCTGGCCCAGGAAAGGTTTATTGTAGCTCACAGTGTTTAGAGGTTTCAGTCCATAGTCAGCTGGCTCCTAGGCAGGGAGTCCTGGCAGTGGCCATCACAGAGGAGAAGAAAACAGTTCATGGTGTGGAAGGCGGGGAGCAGGAGGCAGCAAGCAAGGGCAGCAGCCCTCTTTCTGTCCCTTACATTCTATCCTGGTTGCACACCCTTAGGGTAAGTAGCAGCCACACCCAGGTTGAACCTTCCCATAATCCACACCCAGAACTGTGCCAAAGCAGTCAGGGGGCTGATTTAGTGATCACACACCCTTGATCCCAGCATCACCTGCTCTAGATCCAGGCTCCTCTGAAAAGCCCCCCTAGGACCATCTGCATGAGGCTTTGGGGGACATTGAGTCACAGCCATAACAAGAGAGAGCAAATCATTTATCTGATGTCGCAGTTAGCAGATGCCTGTAATTTGAATCTAGAAGTCTCTTGAGCCACTAATGTTTTAATTTTGAATTAATCAGGCCAACGATAAACTTGTAACTATGAAGGTTATATAAAAAGAAATGGGGCTGGGAATTTAGCTCAGTGGTTCTGCCGCCTGCCTTGCAGGCGCAAGGACCCGAGTTCGATCCCCAGTACCAAAAACAAAACAAAACAAAAAAGAAATGAGTATAATTTATAATTGTAGTTAAACAATGGTTGGAAAAATGCTTTTATATATGCTTAAGAAAAACTATATTTAATTAGAAAGCCAGAAATGTCCGAAGATTTACTTCATATCCAGCTAAGAGCATGATAGTAACCAACGTCAGAATATTCAGCATTTTTTTTTCTTCTGGTACAGGGAATCAAACTCAGGGTCTTGCACTTGCCAGGCAGACCCGGTGCCACTGAGCTTCCCAACCCTTCCCGCCCTCCCAACATCCGAATATTCATGGTGGGACTTTAACTGTAGTAAAGTTTCAGGGTTTTTTGGGGGGCGGGGGGGTTGGTAAAGAAAGCTGGGGAAAGCAGCCTGAGCAGGGTGTGAGCGCCCCCTGGAGGCCCGGCCAACATTCGCCTCGGGGCTCTCGCTCCCCCCAGGAAAGGCCCCTCCCTCCCTCTAGGGGTCGTCACTAGTACGCATTTGTGTAGGCAGTCTTGGAGCTTGAAATGAAAGCAGTGTGTAACTATGACTCAATGAAAATGGGTTGTTTAGTATATAAAATGATTGAATTTGAATCCTGGAGTTGTTAACCTGTTCAGGCAACATCACACCATCGGACTGGTCTCTAATTCTCTGTTCAGTTTACTGGCTTAAGTGTCCTTTGTTTGGATGGTGATTACTCCTGTTAGCATCAGACTTTCATTCTGGGCATATTAATTATTGCTTTGTATAGTATTTATAAGTAGAAAATTGTTTTATAACATTTTAATTAAATTTTAAAAATGAAAAAAAAATTTAAAAATGGAGATTAAAAAGACTGGAGGAGTAATTTTGCTCTTAAATATTTTTGCATGTATTTAGCTTTATATTTTCTGTGTTTTGTGACTCTGGGCAAGTTATTTTACTGCTTTAGTCATCTGGTTTTTTTCAATCCTTAATTGGATTTGATGACACTGTTTCATTAAAGGGTACAGAGTATTTGCTCAATGAAATGTTTTCTAGGAAATAGAATAGATGAAAAATTTGCTTAGACTATATTCCTAAATCAGGAAGGAACTTGGGAAATTTGTTTTTCTAAGTTAGAGTGGAATATAACACATATGAAATGAGGGAAAGGGATGAACCCTGAATCAGACCATAACTGGCAGTGGGGTAGGGAGGGGGCTGGGTCAGATCTCCTTTCCGTTTATCAGCTGAGAACATGGGTTGTTTCTGGTTTTTGGCTATTGTGAGTAATGTTTCAGTGAACGTTTGTATGTTAGCTTTTGTGTGGACATGTTTTAATTTCTCTCGAGTATATGGAATGGAGTTTCTGGGCATATAGTAACTATATTACATTTTGAGGAACTATTATACTGTTTCTCAAAGTGGGTTTTACATTTCCACCATTTCTCCACATCCCTGTCAACACTTGTAATTATCTGACTTCTTGATTCTAGCCATCCTACTGGTTGTCGAGTTATATCTCTTATATGGTTTTCATCTCTGATTGTTAATGATGTTGACTTTTCATTTGGCTAGTGGCCTTTAAGAAATCTTAATTGGAGAAGTGTACTCAGATTCCTTGCCCACCTGTTAATTGTGCTATTAAAATTTTTTATTAGTATATATTTGCAATACATAGGAATATACTCATCATGGAGAGAGTGAGTACATATCATATCACATCACAATGCTTTTTACTTCCCCTGCCCCTCTCCTTTCTCCATTGCTAGATCCCCTTCCCGCCTGTATAAGACACCAACCATTCCCAAACTCAGTCACAAAGATGGACTCCTAAGATTTCATTTAAGTATTCCATAGTTTTAGCTCTTGCATTTAGGTCTTTGAACCATTCCGAGTTAATATTTTTATGGTCCTACAAGCTTTGGATTATCTTCTGATTGGAGAGACTATATATGGGTATTTTGAGACTGTAGGTATTTTGCGACTCTGTAAAATGATGGATTGGACTCAGTGAATACTGAAGTGCTTTGGAGCATATTCTGTGATTCTGCATAACCATACCTTAATTGTCTTTATGTTCTTTTTAATAGTACCACTATTTGTTACAATGACCAAAACCCATGTTATAGCAGCTTCGAAAGAAGCATTTTATATCTGGCAATATCGTGTGGCAAAGAAGCTCATGGCATTGGAAATTAATCAGATCACACGACCTCGACGAGAAGGGAGAGAAAGGTATCTTTTCTGATCTGTTCTCTAATAGGTTAATCATATCACATTGAAATCCAATGTGGTTAATTGTAAATTGTCATGCTTGAGAAATGTAAATTGCCTTGATCAGTAGAAATATTTTTCCATTAATTTGAATATGTTTTAAATCAATCTGTTTAAATTTCTCAAAATAGAAGGTAGCAGAGTCTAAGAAAAGAAAGCCATTGCAGACAGGAAATACGTGTGTTTCGTAAGGAAACGCTGTCCTCATTCCCTACTCCGACACAGTAGGGTCAGGAAGTCACTGAAATGCTGTTACTCGGCTGAGGACTGAGTGGCTAAGTGAAGCTTCCTTTCTGAGGGTTAGGGTCTCCAGGAGGGCGAGGTGACCTGGCCCCAGCCACCAGAGGAGATGCAGGTAGGGAGAGGCCTTTAGGTGGGCTGACCTGGGGCTTGGCTTCTTTCTCTTGGCCTGTCCCCCAGAGTCTGGTGTTGGAATGACTTCTGGTCTGGTAAGGGGAGTCAGGACGACGGCTGCGTGGAGAGGTGAGGGCCAGCCGGGCGGGACTCAGGTAGGACGTCTCCGGTAAAGGTGTGTGCACTGTGCTTGTGAGTTATTTTGTCTGTGTGTTGATACCCTGTGTTGTTGTTTAGTTGTTACCCAAGCCCTCAAGTGAAGCGCTGGTGGGATGTTTTAGCCTAGTGATTCCAGATGAAGGCATAGGCCAAATGGTTAGTCAGGTCAGAAACCCAGGTTTCCTTTTCAGATCATCTTCCCTTACACATACCATTCACCACACGGGACATGCGGGTTCTTTCTGCTTTTTGGCTTCATGCAGCCCCCAGGTCTTTGGCTCCTTCCTTTCCCTTCTCTTAAGACTCATTCCTGTGTGAACTCATGTTGAAGTGGAAAACAGCTATTGGGAAATGATAGCCAGTTTTCTCAGGGGTGCTGGAGGACCAATTGGACAGCCTCAGGCCAGTGTGGGGATAGCACATGCGGTCCTGCTGCTGCAGGACTTGTGCAGCAGAGACCCGCAGTCTTCGGGGAGAATGGGGGTCTCAGGCCGCAGGTGAGGGAGCTGGCCTGGCCTCTGCAGAGCAGGTGCCTGCCTCCTTGGGATTCTGGCCTTTGTTTAAATCAGGAAGGTAGCCCAGTGGTAGTGATGTGGAGCAGGCTCTCCCTGGGTCTTGTCTCATCTGTCAAGGGCGGTAGGTGATGGTGTGAATAGCCGGTGCTTACGGAGTGTTTCTTATGTGCCGGGCACCTCAGTAAGTCCTGTCAGTATCCCCGTGATTCGTGTGGTACCCAGGAAACGGACACACATAGCCTTCCTTGTCTGCCAGGGTCTTCAGCTGCATGGTAGAGATGGGTGTAAAGCCGGGTCTGCCGGACTCAGAACTCCTTTGCTCAGAGTGGCCTTTCTTGTTTCATGAGAGGGACATGAGAGGGACGTGGCCTCTTATCTAGACGCCCCTGCCCCCGAGCTCGGGTGCTCACTGATGGTGACTGGCCTGGGGAGCCCCTTTCTGACCTGCTGTTAGGAGGCAGGGTCTGTCACGGGGGTGCCCTGGAGGGTTTGTCTCCTTTCCAGCTGCGCCGCGGTCCTCTGCTTCCTGACCACCATGAGGTGAGCAGCCTCCCTCTCCAGGAAGGCCCTCGTCAGTGCCCTTCTGTCCTGGAGCGAGCCAAAGTAAATCTCCTCCTCCAGGCTCCGGTTGGCAGGCGCTGGGTCAGCTATGAGCAAAGTGCAGACCACATCATTTCCTGGGGGGCTCCTAGTCTCGCCTTTGACTTCTTTGGTGGTAACTAGGTAGGACTGCATATGTTTAATAGGAATGTATTAAAATACAGAAATGTGTACCGCCTTGGACATATCACATGTTTTTGCATTCATATACATTTCTATTAGACTTATTTAATATTTCCCTGTTACATTGATGAGAATGTAGTTTCTAATTAACAATTATAAAATTCATGGTATTTAAAGTAGAAAATGGCATGATTTTCCTGTGATTATTTAACAGCTACAATGTCTTGTGTGTGTCAAACTCCGTGTTTATACGCTTTACAACTTCCTTTTAGTTTTGCTTTTCAGAAGTGCTGCAGAAGGGGGATTGTTATCCTTATTTTACGAAGGGACCCATTGAGGCTCAGAGAAGCTAATTTTCCCAAGGCTTCAGAGTTACTGTGTAATCTAGAATATTATTTTAGCAATTCTTTAAAAAATTTCCCTTCATTTTGGTAATAATTCAGCAGACACTCTGGAGCCCTTGAGCACGGGTGGCACTGTGCTGGGGCCTGGAGAAAGGCGGTCTTTGCCTGGAGGTTCACCCCCTGAGAGTGCCTGAGCAGTGGCCAGAGCGATGCTGCACTGCCAGGGGCATAAGCTACAGTGCAAGGCACAGGGGCAGCGACTGCGACGCAGGAGGGCTAGGGAGGTCTCCCCTTCATTCCCTGGTGCTTTCCTAAGGCATAGAAGGGTTGCGTTTATTAAACACATCGATAGGGGGAAATCATGGAGAAGCAACAGGGAGCGTTCGTACGTGAGACGTTACTCCTGACTGATAGGGTAAGTTAAACCATTTCTCCCAGTTCATGAAGTTCACTGGGAATGTATGATTCAAAGTTCAGATCGACTCGGGGCACAACTTTCACAAGCAGATAAGCTGGATTAGTAAACGCCTGTTTCTACCTTTGTGAGATTCAGTTGTGTCAAGAACCCTTTAAAATAATCAGTATTTTTTATTAAATTGCAGTATTCATTGGAGTTATTCAATCCTCTAATTGTTTTAGAAATCATGAAGTAGTAAAACCTTTAACATTTTTAAAATATTCTGTTTTTTTCTTTACAGAGTTTATCATGTTGATGACACCCCTTCCGCATCAGTGGATGGGGTACCTGATTATAGTAAAGCCATTCAAGTAGGTAATTTTATTTTTGCCAGCAAATGTTAATATCAGTAAATTTGAAAATATTGTAATTTTATTTTGAGATCTGAAAAAGAATTTATTTCTTGTGAATAGGATACCATTTTAGCAATTCTTTAAATTTTTTCTATTCTGAAATAACTTATTTTTTTTTTGTACCAGGGATCGAACTCAGGACCTTGCGCTTGCCAGGCAGGTGCAGCACCACTGAGCTACATCCCTGGCCCCCCAAACTCATTTTTAAATCTTAGAAAGTCTCAAACTAAATAAAGGTGATAAGTAATCAGTAGGATACTACTTAGAAAAGCTTGTTATCTAAAAATGTCAGGGAACCTAATTCCTCCTGCCTTTCCTGCCTCTCCCCTCTTAGCATCCATCTGTCCATCTCTATCTGGCCACAGCTTGGGTTAGTCATCTCTGGCATATTAGTGAGCATTCTTATTTTCATAGATAACACAGTTCACTGTACCTTTATGGAAATATGCTTTTGTTTAGAAGCAAATGTAATTCCTAGTATTTTAGTAAGCTGTTTTTTGGTACAATCTTTCTGATCGTGTTTAAAATAGTACCTGTTGGGCTGGGGATTTAGCTCCATGGTTCCGCCACCTGCCTCACAAGCACAAGGTCCCGAGTTCGATCTCTGGTTACCCCCCCCCCCCCAAATAGTACCTGTTGTTGACAAAGCTCTTTTGTGTCCAGGTCCTCATCTGATTCTCACGGTCCCCATAAGTCAGACAGTCTGGTGTCTCCTTTTCACCTTACAGATTAGAAAACAGAGGGGAGGTCACCAGTGAGCCCTCAGATCCTACTGCAACTGAGTAGCAAGGCGAGGCTTCACGTTTGCATCTTCTCGTAGCAGATCTTGTGACTGCTCTGCTAGAACATGTGGAGGTCCCTCTGGTCATCTCCTGCCTGTCCGTTTGCTCAGTAGGGCTTCATGCGTGTCTTTGATGTGTCAGACAGTGGAGTAAGTGCCGCGAATCTACTGGTGGATAAGAAACCGTTCCTCCCATTAGGAAACTTATAGGAAACTTAAACCTGATTCATCATCAACCATCCGTTTCCCCCATCCTCACATAAAATCTGTCCCATCTTAAAAATGACAACAGGGTCCGGGCACGTAGCTCAGTGTTCTAGCACTTGCCTTGCAAGTGTGAGGTCCTGAGTTCGATCCCTGGTACCAAAAAAAATAAAAATAAAAAAATGACAATAGAAGTCTCCATGGGCAACTGCGTGCATGTATTCTTCTGTGTACTGACTTGTTTCTTTATCCTTTCAGAGCTAAGCCTCCTGAAAGAACATTATTCATCATCTTTCCCTCACCATTCATTCCATTTTTGCTCCATTGCGTTCTGGTTTCCAATTCCCTTGACTGGGAAAGTCTGATAGGAACTTTTCTTTGTATTATTTGTTCTGTATATGACATTAACATTTTTTAGCATACTTTTCTGCCTGGCTTTCATGAAACCATCTTCTTGGCTTATCCCTCGTTGACCTTTCCGTCTCAGGCGTCTTTGTCCAGGGCACATCGCCACATCTCTGGTTGAGATGGTCCCATGTTCAGTCCAGGCCATATGCTGGAGCGTTCTTATTGAAATCTACTCCTGGAACTGTGTGCCAGGGATCTGATACCTGTCTTTCCAGTGTTGAGCTTTTCTAATTTCAGAGAGATGTATTTCTTGCTGTCTGGATAGCAGGAGAATAGATGGCTCAAAAGTACCCAAATGTAACCTGTCTCAGAGTGAACTCTTTTTGCTTCCATGTGTATTATGACTGCATCTATTCAAGAAGCATGAGAAGTCCTCTTTCTTTCTTTTTCTCTTTTCTTTCTTTTTTTTTTTTTTTGCTTTTCATGCCTAGCAAATCACTGAGTCCTGTCGATTCTGTCTTTGGCCTGCCCATCTGTCTCTACCTCAGTCCAGTACCATTGGTTGATCAGTTGCTGTCTAGGTCACTACGGTAATCTTCCATCCAGAACTCCCCAACAGTACCTTTTGTGACAGTGGAAATATTTCACATCTCTGATGCTTGGTGCAATAGCCACTAGCCACATGTGGCCAGTGAGTGCTTAGATGTGGCTAGTTTGGCTGAGGAGCTGAATTCCCAATTTTATTTTACTTTAATGACTTGAAGTTTACATGTCAGTAGTGATGTTGGGGAGGGGCAGTGGTGTGGACCAGCACAGCCAGCCTCTGTACTTCGTCTTCCCCATCCCTGCAGTGCCAACCCAGTTTTACACACTGCCATTCCTGACCTCCGATGGACCCCATAGCGTCCCAGAGTACAGATGTGCACAGCCTCTCCTCTCCCTGCCACTTCTCTCCCCTGCGCATTCCTCAGATACCAGTGTGCTAAATAAAATAACTTAGTTTCCTGAATGCTCTGTGCTTTTTTCTTTTGATTTTAAAAATATTTTATTTTGAAATAATTATAGATTCATAGGAAGTTATAGAAATAGTCCCTTTACTCAGCTTCCCTCAATGACGACCTCTTATGTAATTGTCATATGACAGGAAACTAGGAGATTTACATTGATCTCATTCTGTTAGGCTGCAGCCTTGTTCCTCACTCGGTGTCCACTGCTGTTCTACTTACTTGTGTGTGTGCAGCTCCATGTCATTTTATCCCCACAAAGGGACTTCCTGCATGCCACTTCCTTTCTCACCTCCTCCCAGCCCCAGCCCCAGCCCTGGAGAACCCCAGATCTGCTCTCCGTCACTTTGAGGGTTCGAGGAAGGAATCCTACAGTAGGAAACCAAGCACAGTGCCCCAGTCATTTCGGGGCCTCGAATTTCAGCCTCTGCCCAGTGGGTGCTGGGCCTTCTGCAGTCGGTTCATTGTTTAGAGCTAAGCTCAGCATCTTGCCTGTCCTAGTGTGAGTTCCGGGCCTCGTCCTCTGTTCTCCTAATCCTGCTGTACCTCTTTCTTTTTAAAAATCCTATCCTCATCATTAGGTGTCTTCCCTCGTACACTTCTGAGTCAGCCCGAGGGTAAATATTGCTCCTGAGCATCTCTGCTCCGTAGTCCAGTGCCTGGCACATAGTCAGTGCTCAGTAATTACGCCTCTGTTAGTAAATATCTTCTTGTCTGCTCCTCCTCCTCTTCGCGTTCATGCTAAGCTGTGTCTACTGCAGAGCACACTCCCAGCCCAGACATATTTTTTTTTTTTGGTGAAGTGCATGATACTTTGTAAAGATTAGTTGATAGATATTTGTTAAATAATAACGATTGATTAATTTATTTTAGGGCACAAGAGATCCAATTTGTGCAATAACTGCATCTGATAAGACATTGATTGTGGTAAGTTGTAAAAAAAACCTTATTGTTGGAATAATAATTTGTTTTTTGTTTTTTTGGTACCAGGGATTGAACTAGGGACCTTGTGCTTGCGAGGCAGGCAGCAGAACCAGAGCTAAATCCCTGGCCCTGGAATAATAATTGTTTATAAAACTAGGATAAAGCAATGAGTTTTGGGTTTGAATATCATCTTATAACCATCCCACATTTTACTAAATCTAATACACAAATTCAGAAAGTTTTAAAGCTTGTCTTACCAATTCTTAATCATTTGCAAAAGTAGCTGTTGATAAAAGCAGTAGAATGGTGGCTAGATGAGATGATAAAGTAAATACATTTAGAGCTTGACCCCAAATTGGAAGAGGCCTCTATTAAGGGTTGAAGGCTGTGGGGCAGATTGCATGGTGGCAGTAGGGCCTAGAATGTTCTTTTCCTGATATTTTTATATTGAAAAAGTGCTTTGGCTCAGCTACTTTCATAGACTTAGAATGAAGAGGTGATGTGTTTGCTAACCATAAAATAGAGAAAACCTTGGCGAATTTCTGTTGAGTTTCTCAAATAGAATCAATGGTATAGTGTGTTTTCCTGAGCTCTGGCACTTGAAAATACTAATTTAAAATGTTTACTTTAATACAGTAATGCTGGTGGCATTGCATTTGAATTATGTGAACAAAGGCGTAATAGCGTATATTTCCAGTTCTAGTTACATTCTGTAGCTGTTAGTTGATTTTATGAGGGAAAATCCAGCCTTCTGAGCAGCCCTTCTTGAGACTCATGCTGCAGGAGCACTGCTTAGAGGAGTAGTGGTATTCCCACTGCCATGCGCCAGGCACTGAGGAGCTTGGAGACCGCAGCCCTTTCCTGTCTCGTGTGCTTGGTGCTGATCCGCCTACCTTGGTGCTTGTCTAGAGTTGCACAGAAGTGTGTATTGTCTTAAATTTTAAACGTATTTAAACTAGTACTCAAGGTGTCACTGCTTTCAGATCACCTTTCTTCTTGTCAGAAACTAGTATCAGATAGATGACTACAGGATAAGCATCTAGATGTTTAGTTACAGCTATTTCATTTTTAAAAATTAATTTTAATGGTACACTTTAGATATACTTAAAGATTACATTCATCATAGGGAAAGGTATAGCTATTTCATACCGTGGTCTTCTATTGATTTTTCATATGAAATTTAATTCAATAAGTGCTTTGTATTTTAGCTTTTAATGTACCCTGAATATTAAACTACACAATTATAAACAACCTTAGTTATATATTTCTTACTTGTAAGAATGTATTACCAAAGACCTAGGATTCTTGAATATTTTTTTCTTGAATATTACATGAAAAATATAAGCTACTTCAAGCACTTTAAAAAGGTTTAAATTAAATTAGGAGCTAAACATATAGTTAATAACATAATTTGCTGTCACCAGAGTTGGGAACTTGCTAGGACACCATCACTTCGGTTTTAAAACAAATGTCCAGATGTACCATGAGACCTGTAGTTGTAGTGTGATGATAGTATGGTTAAGATGCTTTGGTAATCAGATGTAATTTTCACAGGGTCGTGAGTCTGGCACCATTCAAAGATACAGTCTTCCTAATGTTGGGTTGATTCAAAAGTACTTTCTTAATTGTCGAGCCTACAGGTTATCTTTGAACTGCAACTCTAGGTAAGGCTGAGCGCGCTCCTCAGGCGGGAGGTAAAGTTATTGATTGGGATTTTTGATTTATGTAATACTTGTGAAGACAGATGTGCTTGTTATGAACTTGTCTGAAAGTGCAGTGTGGTTTTTACTCTCCTGTATTTGATTTTTCTCTACTGGGCATATGAAAATCCTGGTAAGATTTTATTAAAGCTTAAGAGTATCGAGACTATTTTATATTTTCATACTAGTTGATGTAATCTCTTTGGATATGTTTTCCTTACAAGGAAGCAAAATGGAGACTAGTCTATATCTTCTGTTAAATTTATTTAAAAAAATTAAAATTTGTTTCTACCATATTTCAAGTTTCTGATAAAACAATTTTGAAGAATGGTGGTAGGTAGTTATACTCACAACACTGATAATAGTTTTATAATTTCCCCTTCCCTGCTCGCATCATTTCTAGCCGTCTTGCTATCATAGATATCTCAGGAGTTCTAACTTTCTTTGACTTGGACTCTCGGGCAATGGACAGTACAGGACAGCAAGTAATTGGCGAGCTATTAAAACTGGAGCGGAAAGATGTTTGGGATATGAAGTGGGCCAAGGACAACCCTGATCTCTTTGCAATGATGGAGAAGACAAGAATGTATGTTTTCAGAAACTTGGATCCTGAGGTAAAATAGGAAATGAGTGCTAAATTTTCACAAATAATGAGCCAAATAGCAAAACCTGGACGTATCCTCTTTGTTTCTTTAAGGGGTTTGTTGGTGTTGGCTGCATACATTTGTCAAAGTAAATGGAAAGATTTTTGTGGAGTTTAAAAATATTTGGTCTCGACTGGGAATAATACTCATCTTTTAAGTATTTACTTCCCCTTACAAGTACTTTCTGGGCATTTATCTGTTCTTTTTGACAGATGGAATCATGGTCACTAGGTAGTCTTTTTTTCTTCCTTATCAAAGTTTCAAGAAAGCAAAAGAAATTATTTTTATTTACCAAAATTCCTTAAAAGAATCTAACAAAAAATGTACTTTTGAAATTGCCTCTTCCTTTTGTTTTCTTCTGCCCATGCCTACTTTATCTGGCACTTAGATTGTCTTAAGCATACATTTACCATATCACCTACTAATTCATGTTCTTCCACCCAGACATGCTTACACATGCACTAGTGTGGATTGCGGTTAGTCTTCTCTCTCAGGGATCAGGAAGCTCCTTTCTCATAAGGTTACATTTTTCACTTGTGGTTCACATTAGTTAATTTTTATGCTCTGGATTTTTCTGTCACTCTATCTGTTCTAGACCAACTGTTAGCTCTTTTGTTTAGAAAATACACAATAATCTGAGTTGTGATTTAATCAAGAAGATAAATCTCAAACTGTGTTCTAATTAACAGAGATTTTCAATTTGGAATTTTCTGTTGTACTTCACTAGTGTGAATAATAGCTTTATATCATTAATTTTTATTTGTTCGCACCTGTAGCCTTCTTGGGACGAAATGGCACACTTAGGTTCTTGAGGTGCCAACAATTTTTCTGTAGTAATTTGTTCGATGATAAGCTGCTTGTCACTTTAATACCGAAGTTATTTTTACGTTTTTCCACTTGAGCCCTGCTTAGAATCTTTGAGTTGGCAATAACCTGATGTAAACTGGCTCTCAAAAGCCGTGAGAACGTTCAGGAGTCATAAGGTCTCTAATTCCTAGATCCTGAGAAATGGTTCAAAGGAAAACGTTCAGCAGGCGTGGGCTTCCAAGGGGAATGTGACCCTTGCCCCAGAACAGTGCGGGAGGTGGATGGGCGACCGCAGGACGGGCTCAGCATGGACCAGGCCGGCGCCCACCCTGCCCACTCCCACAGCCAAAGCCGCTGTGAGTGCCGGGGAGAGAGTGCTGGTGCCGCCTGGTGTCTCGCCCGTGCGCAGCACCAGCAGCAGTCTGCCTGCCTGGTGGAGTGTCCTTCCGGAGGTCTGTCAGAGCAGTCCTTAGTTTTAAAAATATTATTTTCTTTATTGGAGTTTGTGTTCTGATTTGGCATGTAGTTCAAATTCTGTTAGCCTTACAGCTTGGTAGCTTGTTTGGACAGCACTCCCACTGTCTAGACTTCTTTAAAAGCATCCTGTCCCGTTCCGTTTCATCCATGGGGACGCTGCCCTCTGTGGTTAGTTTAGTTACTCTGCTGACCATTCCTGTAGCCGCTCATTGCTCCTCCAAGGACGCGTGCTTCCACACAGAAGTTACTGGGTCTGTAAAACTATGGAGTGGGCTGTTCCTTCAGGACAGGCACCTACACTCCCCCAGTGAGCTGCTGTTCAGTTGGTAACAGTCTATTTTGTCCATGTGAGGACAGATGAGGTTGTCTTTGTTTTCACACTCAGGATTGTTGGGAGTAAGCAAGGAGCCCATTCTGCTTCATGTTTGCTTGTGCTTGCATTGCCAGCATTGGCTTGAGTTCACACTCTTTTCAAGACAGTTTTAAGCTACTTGTCCAGGAGTGAGGAGTAGCTGAAGTTAAATAGTGTAATCCCTCCATGTACTTGCTTAAGTGTTTGCAAACTTCAGTCTACCACAGTGTGCAGAGACTGAAAGGTCAGTAAAGGCCCTTCAGCATACCTGCTGGAGCCCATATGTTGTAAGGCCTCTGACTGTGCTCAGTAAAGCTACCAGTGATTCTCAGAGTAGTGTCCATAGTAAAGCTTTAGATACTTTTTTGATAAAAAGAATTATCTTGCATAGTGCTTAGGTGAGTGTATTCTGCCTTGTAGGCCATTGGTCTGAAACTTCATATTCAATTAAATATCTTTGAATTTTGGAAAATAAAAAAATTGATTAAGATAAGTTGAGCAGAAATTGAATTTTAAAACATGAATTATATAAATATTTACTTATATGCCAATAATCGTAGATTATTATTATTATTATTATTATTATTATTATTATTTTTGGTACCAGGGATTGAACTCAGGACCTTGCGCTTGCGAATCGTAGATTATTTTTGAAACTCTTAGTTTTTGATCTTTGTTTCCACCTTTACTTTTCTCCCTTTCTCTTTGTTTTTAATGTTTTTTTAATCCAAAATTATCTTTTGATTGCCTTGCTTTGTTGCATTATCTAGCCAAAAATAAAATATTTTTCTACTGATAAACATGTTTTATACAAGTATATTTTATTTACGTAAAGTGTCAAAATGAAGTATATAAAGCCTCCCGTAATGTACAAGAAATACTCCATTACATATGCTTTTTTTTAATTGAAGTATGTTCTGATTCTTTTTTTTTTTTGGTACTGGGGATTGAACTCAGGTCCTTGCGCTTGCGAGGCAGGTGGTGTTCTGATTCTTTATGTGTACTTTTTGCTCAGGAAAGAATATTATTATTATTATTATTATTATTATTATTATTATTATTATTTTGGTACCAGGGATCGAACTCGGGACCTTGTGCTTGCAAAGCAGGCGGCAGAGCCACTGAGCTAAATCTCTGGCCCAGAAAAGCATATTATTTGTCTTACACAATACAACCTTTTTAAAGGTAATAGAAGCATCTTATAAAGTTGTCTCATTTTGACTATTGCAACCAACAACTTACGATATTTAATAGAAAGCAAACAATTACAAACCTGTTAGACACATTTATTAGCATACAGGAGCCTCATAGTACTAAAATAACAGACATATATCAGACTCATATATTTACATATTGGCAAATAAATCTGATGTAGGAAGTCTATCAGTGACACTCCTTGGCTCATGTTACCGAGAAGAGACTTTTTAATATGGTGTGGGATTCTGTGTTAGATGTACTTAGATACAAATATACTGCTTATCAGTTTTACTAAGAATTAAGTTTATGATGTGGGCATGTAAGAGAATGTCCTTATCTTTTAGATAAATGGCCTGAAGATTTTAAAGGTTGAAACATCATGATATCTATAATTTATAATTTGTTAGCCACAAAATTAAATGAAGCAGGGCTAGAGATTTAGCTCACTGGTTCCACCACCTGCCTCGCAAGCACAAGGACCCGAGTTTGATCCCCGGTACCAAAAAAAAAAAAATTAAATGAAGCATATTTAGAAAATGTTGACAATTTCTTAGGTAATGTGTACATGGCTCTGATGTCATTCTGTCTAGTTTTTAGTTTATTTGAAATTTTGATATAAAATTTAAAACCAGGATTTCTTAAAGGAAGGGCTATTTTGCAAGATGGAACATAACACTCATTTTTGTCTTTAAGGAACCCATTCAGACCTCCGGATATATTTGTAACTTTGAGGATTTAGAAATTAAATCTGTTCTTTTGGATGAGATATTAAAGGTAATTGTCTTAGTTACTTCCTCATTCCTGGGACAAAATACCCAACACCCACAAGTTAATGGAAGAAAAGTTTATTGTAGCTCACAGATTGTAGAGGTTTCAGTTCCTATTTGGATGGCTGCAAGGCAGGGTGGCTTGGCAGAGGGGCATCGCAGAGGGGCATCGCAGAGGAGAAACAGTCCACGACAGGGTGGAAGGGCACCGCAGAGCAGGCAAGAGGCACTGGAAGACTAGCAGCAGCAACAGAAGCAGCAGCAAGAGATGACAAACCAATCAGTGGACTAATTTAGTTACCACACACCCTTAATCCATATTCATAACCCTCAATCCAGCCATCTCCAAAACCCCCCACCTATGAGTACATGAGGCTTCGGAGGACATAATGGTAATTCTTAAAACCAATCATATTTCTGTTGTCAGCTTGACCGGAATTGCTCTGGGACCAGGCAGTGTGATGTCTCACTTAGGTGTGTAGACGCAGAGGTCAGATAGCTCTTGGGTCCAGCCCTGCTCCGTGACTTGTGCTGTGGTTCCCATGAAGGCTTTAGTGGCTTGACGCTCTGGCTGACCCCAAAGGAGGTTAGCCCTGGGCTTTCTCATCAGCTGGCCCTGAGGAAGTCAGAAAGGGACAGAGAAGTGCAGCTCACGCTGTCAGAGTCCAACACCAGGGTGGACTGAGATACCCCGGGGCAGTGATAGTGAACCCTTTAGAGACCAAGAGCCCCAACTGCAACCCCAAACACTGATTTATCACATAGCGTCGGCACTGCAGTTAAATCTGAGTGCGCCACTGCTGCAGCAGTGCTGGGGGAACTCAGCTCGCCTGCCCCAGAGAGGGCTCTGTGTGCTGCTGTGGCACACGTGCTACAGGCTCACCACCGCCCTAGGGTGATGTGAGCCCGTGCTGGTTGTTTGGCTCTTCTCTGTGTGGAGAGCACTCCTTTAAAGAGTGAAGAGAAAACTCTTGTCCTTGTTTAAGGCATCTGACCTGTAAAATAAAGGAGCACGTCTTTTTTTTTTTTTTTTTGAGACAGAGTCTCGCTATGTAGTTGAGGCTGGCCTTGAACTCACTATGTAGCTCAGGCTGGTCTAGGACTTGTGGCAGTCCTCCTGCCTCAGCCTCCCTAGTGGTGGGATGACAGGGGTTTGCCACCATGTCTGCCAACGAGCGCCCCTGTTGACTCACGTACAGTAATGTCACAGAGTGTCCCCTTTGCCTCACAGATCCAAGAAAGTAAGTTTTCATTCCCTGTGTCCTCACGGTCACAGGACTCAGGTTGTGAACACCTGAGCGTCCTTTTAAGAACAGTTGCCAGTGGGTAGAGTCCAGGTAGGGCTGTTGCAGGGCCCCGGCTGTCCTGGGCTCTTCATGTTTTGTCACAGTGAGCTGCCTGAAGCGCCAGTGTCCAGGGAGGGCCTGCTGTGCTGGAGATTCTCATGAAGTGTTCGTTACATTGATTTTTCAAAATAAATAATGACTACAGTGCTTCTTAAAGAGTATTAAATAGTTACATAGGATTCGGGCCGTACAGAAGAGTGCTGAAAACAAAGTGAAAATAGATGCCCAAATCCCACCATGCAAGTGTTTCAATCATTAGCTTTAGATAAACGTCAGAGTGCCATTTCATCCAGCTAAGCTGTGTGTGGAAGACAGATTCACTAGATTAGAGAGGTGAACAGAAGTAACTTCATAAAATGGGCCTCAGTCTCAGTCTCTTCAATGTTAAATTCAATTTTAATTAAATAGTCCAAATTTTAATTTACAGTGGAGAGCATTTCTCCAAAGAGCGACTTTTAGTTAATTTTTTCACCACAATGCCATTTTCCTGTCTTAAGAGGAAAAGTGATGACAAACTAAGCATTATCACTTTGAAGTACATTTTAACTTGTAATAGTAATGGCATTTTACTCTAGAAGATAACATTCTTATATTTACTCTCTCTCCTTTTTTTGGTTAGCCATATCATTATTTTTACATTGTCAAGATTTAGGACGTTTTAATTTTGTTTTCTAACTCCAATTTTCAGTTGTTTCATCCTTTTTGTTGTTCTTTTGTAATGGTGCTGGGGGTTGAACCCAAGGCCTCACATGCTGGTTAAGTGCCCCGCCCCCAGCTGCACCTTGCCCTTAACTGCTTAGTCTTACACGAGGTGGTTCAGAGCTACTCAGTCTTTTTATTGCATTTTCTCTGTGCCTGAGCCCTTAATTTTGATTCTCCTTTCAGTTGGCTGGATTTCATCATCCGTGGTATTTTTAAAGAGAGGCTCATGATCGCCTTCAGGTTTTGAATGCTTGAAAACGCCTGTGGCCTCTTGCTGTAACTGATTGAACTGACTCCGAAACCCTTTGGGAAAGTACTTATTTCCAGTGGTCGGCTGTAGTCTGAGACTCCTGATACACCTGCAGTGTGGTGCTCGGTGCATCGGGAAGGGGTCAGAGTGGGTGAGAGTTAGGCTGTGACAGAAACTAAATTCTCTGTGACAGTTTGTTATCTGCTGACTAGTTACGTGCAAAGTTTATTAAAGAAAAGGATCTATCATGCTCCTCTCTGGGGCCTTAGTGATCCAGGAAATGTTTAGCTGGACTGTGGACTCCTTCAAGCATAGGATTGTAAGGAAATGACATGAAGCTGGCTGTAGCCTCACAGACCTATAATCCTGGCATTCAGGAGGCAGAGGCAGGCAGATCGCGAGTCAAGTTTCTCTTGGGCAACTTAGGGAGACCTGGTTTCCAAATTTAAAAAACTTTGAAGAGAGCTGGGAAGGGAGCCCAGTGATAGAACACCCCAGGTTTGAGCCCCTGTACTGAAAGCAGAGACAAAGAGAGAGAATAAGAACAAGGAATTTCTCAGAGGATTAGAGAAGAAATACAAAAGGAAAGAAAGGAATGAATATTTACCGAAGTACTTTCCTATGGGGCATTCCATGTCTCGTCACCTCGACCCTGCCTGGTAGGTCTTCCGAATGCCTTTCTTCAGATGAGTAAAATGATTTACTCAGAGTTCATGTGTTCATTGATTCAGCACGCTTAATTGAGAGTCAGTAAAACACAACCCCTGGCCTTGTGTGGAGGAACTGGGGAGAGAGGAAAGTAATTCAGCAGCCAGGGGAGAGGTGGGGTGCCCTGACTCCGTAAGGGGGTGGCCTAGCCTAAAGCGCTCTGTGACAGGCATGGCTGGGCATCGTGCCCATGTTAGACACGTTCTGTCTTCAGTCCTCACAGCTCTAGGAAGCAGTTTGATGATTTCTTCCACTTTGTCAGGCAAGGACTCTGGGGCGTGGAGGGAGAAGTTAGTAATTCGCCTCTGTGGGCCAGCTAGCAATAGGCAGAGGGATGATTAGGCTCCAGAGCTGCTGGGTGTGGTTGGTAGCACTGGCAGAGATGAGGCTGGGCGTGTGGGACTGGGCGGGCTGCCGTGGACTTCGTGCTTTCTCCGGAGATGGGGCGGGGGGGGTCCCTTCACATGGCCAGTGAGCAGTTCCTTGGATTAGGTCAGGCCTCCCCCAGCCCAGGCCTCACACCGTCAGCACTGGCCCCTTCCGCTGCACACAGGGCCCCTGGGCTCCACACTGAGCTCCAGTGCTGCTGTAGCCGGGAGAGGAGGGGGTGCTTGCGGCTCCGTTGACCCCAGGACCCACCCACTACTGTCTCACTCATGGGCTCTACTTGTTCAGTGCTGTTGTCATGAACGGTGGTGAGGAGAGTGTGGCCAGGCTGGTTGTGACTGTTCGTTTCCTTTCTTTGCTGGTTTATCTGGCCGTTTCCTCAGATAGGCTTCCAGGTGTTTCATTATCTTAGTCAGCCGCACAGTCACGACGGGGTAGCGATGCTGCCAGCCCCTGCTCTCGTCTTTCTGCTGCTGCCTGACAGTAGGGGCCAACAGTGCTTCGCCCCTGGTGGGGAAAACGTGGATGAAGGGGCGCGGGAGCGGGGCTGTGGCACCTGGGTTTCTGCAGAGGAAGAGGGTAGCCCTGGGAGGGACCCTTGCACCCCGTCCGCTTCTGCCCATGCACGCCTGACTGCTCAGGAGAGGCTCAGCACTCTGCAGGGGACCATTCGAATTCCTTTGTTTTCATCTTTACTTTTAGGATCCAGAACACCCAAACAAGGATTATATGCTCAACTTTGAAATTCGGTCCTTGAGAGATAGTCGAGCCTTGCTTGAGAAGGTTGGGATAGAAGATGCATCTCAGTTCATAGAGGACAACCCACACCCCAGACTGTGGTATGGAACCCCCCAGCCTTCCCCAAATGCCTGGCGTGTGCCCGTGAAAGCCCAGCTGTCACCCCGGCTCCTGCACTGACCTCCTGAAGGAGTGTGCTTGTATTCTGGAAATTCATTTCAGATTTGAAGGTTCTCATTAAAACACAGTGTTACAGTATAGGAAAACATGCCGATGTGTGCAGAAATAGTCACTTCCCACCAGGATTTACTAGAAGCAATAAGCATAATAATGGAATTCTGGCTCAAGACTGGTTTATCAGTGACTTGCAGAGGCTTTCTGTTTCTTTTCTAAATAAAGGCGCCTGCTGGCGGAAGCAGCTCTTCAGAAGCTGGACTTATGCACTGCAGAGCAAGCATTTGTGCGCTGCGAAGATTACCAAGGCATCAAGTTTGTAAAGCGCCTGGGGAATCTGCAAAGCGAGGCCATGAAGCAAGCTGAAGTTGTTGCCTATTTTGGCAGGTTTGAAGAGGCGGAAAGAATGTATCTTGACATGGACAGAAGGTAAGTTAGGAAGGGGCAGGCATCTGTCCTGCCACCAGTTCAGACTGGGAAGGTTTGCTTGAGATTTGGGCAGCCTGGAGAAGAGACGTAGAGCCCTGGGAATACCTGACATGCCTGTAGCAGCTCAAGGGTTCAGTGGCAGTCCAGCTCTTTAGCTGCACATGCACACGGCAGCCCAGAGTCACAGTGTAGTGCATAACAGTGGCTGCGTGCCAGTGTCCCCTAGGTGATATAAGTCACTTACACCGAGACCACGAGGCACACTTGCCCTGGGTCCTGGACTCAGGACGCGTGCCCCGAATCACCCCCTGCCCCACAGCCTGGTGAAAAGAAGCGATGATTCATGACTGTGCTAAATAAGTTGAAAGTGCATGAAAACAAAAGACAGAAAATTGTTTTCCTTTTCTGGTGTCTCTGTGCTACTGTAATAAAATACCAGAGGCTGTGTAATTTATGAAGAATAGAAATTCTGGAGGCTGGGAAGTCCAAGATCAAGGGGCCACAAAAACCAGGTTCGGTGTCCCGTGAAAGGCCCGTCTGTGTTTTTAAGATGCTGTTTTGAAGTCTACACCTTCACATGGAGGAAAGCAGAAGGGCAAAAAGTGGTGCACTTTCTCTGATGTTTCTTTTATGAAGGTGCTAATCAGCTCGTGGAGGAAGGCGGTCAGTTCCCCAGAGACTCCGCCTTTTGGCACCTCCATAAGGAGGATGAGATAGCAACATGAGTTTGTTTGTTTGTTTTGTTTTTTGAGACCGGGTCTTGCTATGTAGTTCAGGCTAGCTTTGACTGCACTGTGCAGCCCAGGCTGGCCGGAAGTCCTCCTGTTTCAGCCTCCTCAGTGCTGAGATGAAGGCATGCAGCACTACAGCCAGCTCAACATGAATTCTGGAAGGGACACACGATCAGACGGACACATCCCAGCCCCCTCCCCCGACCCATTGCCTGTTACCTGGTCAGGCTGTTTCTAAAGAGTTTGGAGTTACCTTGTCTGCCTGTGTTCTCAGTACCTAGAATAATACCTAGCACTTAGTAGGCACTTGATAAATATTTGTTGAATGGATGAATGAATGATTGGATGCCATTATTTGTAGGGACCTTGCTATTGGCCTCCGGCTGAAGTTGGTGGACTGGTTTAGAGTGCTCCACCTCCTGAAAACTGGATCAGGTGTTGCAGACGACAGTCTCCTTGAACAAGCTCACAATGCCATTGGAGACTACTTTGCTGACCGACAGAAGTGGTACGGGGTCACTGTGCATGTCTTGTGCATTTCCTCAGTGCTTGGGTCGGCTGCTGCCTGAATATTTCCCTAGGATGTGATGCTGGGAGAATGAAGCCCATCCTCCTAAATCCTAAAATTCACACAGCTCTGCATTCACATGGGAGAGGAAGATCCTTGCAGTTGTACTGTGAGCACTGTAAAACTTTGAAGTTTCAAACATAAAACTTGCACTTAGCTCTGGGCAGCTTTGAACTGTTTGAGATCACAATGTACAATTCTATGATGTTACTTGATTTGCGTCTGAACAAAGCACAAGCATATGTTTGCTTGTTTTGTTATTAGAGATTATTTTCGGAAGTCATTGCTTTTATTCTTAAATTTTCAGTTTGATCAATACACTTACACGTGTCAGTAGGAGAAGTTCTGTGATATATCTGATTAAAACAGTGTTTCATAAGAATACTCAGAGTCTGTTACAATTAGGATATGCTATGTAGTCTTTAAGACCTTTTCCCATTGAATGGTGCTGTGTGACCGAAGATGATGAATTGGGTAATGTAAGTAATCACTATCGTCATCATCACTGTGATTATTACTGTGCTACAATTGAACCCTGGGCTTTACACATGTGGACAAGGGCTCTGCCCCTGAGCTGTATCCCACCTGGTGCCACTTCCAGTGAAGGAGCCTTTTGGATGAAAGTACTTATCAGAGATTCATTTAGGTTTAAAAGCTTTTCTTTGTTTTTTCTTTCCATAGGTTGAATGCTGTGGAATATTATGTGCAAGGCCGGAACCAGGAGCGCTTAGCTGAATGCTATTACATGTTAGAAGATTATGAGGGATTGGAGAGCCTTGCCAGTTCACTGCCAGAAAACCACAAGTTGCTTCCGGTAGGCGTTGCACATTTTGGTTTCATCGTGAGGTTACTTTATAAAATTTTTATGCTATATCAGGAAATAACCTCTATAATATAGAAAATTAAAAATCTTAAATTCATAGTTTTGTAGACATGGAATGATGCTTGTATTTTACTTATAAAACAATATATTAATATACTGAGGGGAAAATCCGTCATATTGTTACTATTATAATGTGTAGTCTTGTATAGTTTCTGCAGTTTTATAAAATTGCCTTTGAAAGTTAGCTTAATACATGAAATATTTACAGATGAAATACTATCTTGTCAGGAATTTGCTTCAAAATCTGAAATTATTTAAAATTTGCTACAACTGAAGTTTAAAAAGATTGCTCAACTTTTATTAAGTTAGATTAACAATAAAGTAGTTATGTTAAGAAAGAAAAACTAGGGCTGGGGATTTAGCTCAGTGGTTCCACTGCCTGCCTCACAAGCGCAAGGTCCCAAGTTCAATCCCTGGTACCAAAAAGAAAGAGAAACTAAAAGCATGTTCTATTCACTTGAATGTTTCTTTTAGTGTCTTTTAATTAATTGTTGAATTTTGCTAATGAGTTCGTGTTTTATTTTTTTATCTTCTGGGTAAATCACTGAGCTGTACCATACCTGTGGAGTTGGTAGAACTCAACTGCAGGCTTGGGACATAGTATAGATGTGAGTTGCACCTCTAAAATTGTGTCTGTTGGTTAATACTTAAGTATAGAATTCTGATAATTCAGTTTTCTTACTGTGAAGTAGGGTAGTTGTCCCTGTAATAATTGCATTTTTACTCACCCCTGTTCTTAACACTTGTGTTTTCTTGAGTAGGAAAGAAACTGAAATTACTTAGAACCCTGGGTATAGGGAACAGTATCAGTGATGGCGAACCTTTTGGAGCTTTCAGTGGTAACAGCTGGCTGCAGCATATGTGCCATAGGTTTGCCACCACTGGTATGGCCTATTTTAGTGTCGTCCCTTAGGTGTGTTTGATGAAGCAGAAAAAATTTTGCTGTTGGGGATCCAGAAGACTAATACTACTGAGTAAATGCTAAGTAATTTTAACAGTAAAAATAACTAACTAAAGTAGTAAATTTAAGTAGTACTATAAATATAAGTTTTAGAGAAATTTCTCATAAGGTGGGAAGAGGAACATAATACTTGCATGGGAAATGCAGGGCACCAGATTATGTACAGTGCGACCACAGTCTGCACAAACGCGCACATCCGTGTGTATGCACAGCACAAAGAAGCTGGGGAGTCAGGGAATATTTACGGAGGTCTCTGGGAGTGTTTCGAGTATGGGGAACATTGTTTCTCCTGGTTTATAATTCCTTACTATTAAGATGCGTTACTTTATGATCAAAGAACATATCCATGTTTTGAAAGGTAGTTGGACAGAAAATGTACATTTATATTTGCAAATGTATTTTGGAAGTAGGAAGGTGGGGAGACAAAAAGTCTGTCTAATTAGTTACCTGCGCCGAAAGAAACAGAAGATTGATTCTGTGAAAATGGAGAAGGCAGCACAGTGTGTGGCAGCTAAGCCTGGAAGCAGCCAATGCCCGTCAGCTGGAGACTGGGTAAAGAAGATGTGGGGTTGAAAACTAAAATGGAGTGCTACTCAGCCATCAAAAGTGAGAAATTAGAGACATTTATGCTAAATGGAGGCACATGGAGGCGGTACTCTTAAGTGAAATAAACAGGACACACGTGTGTAAATACCGAATAGTGTCTCTAGTGTGAGAAACTGAAAGTGTAAATAAGGACTAACTAAAAGGTATAATAGATAATGTGAAATAGGAAGAAAAGGGGCAAAGGGGAAGGGGAAGTGGGAGGGGTAGGGGAAAGGAAAGAAGGGAGTGGAATCAATATGAGAAAACGAAAAAATGGAAACAAAGTCTTTGTAGATAGGGAGGGGTGGAGGGGTTGAAGGGAGGGCAGGGGAAGGGGAAAATAAGAACCAAGAGAGATTATGTAAAGGTGCAGATTACAAAAGGAAAAAGAAAATGGAGAAGGCGGCCACCAGGCGGCCTGGATCTGGTGGAAGTGGCTCTCCCGCTGCGCCGCCCTGTCGCCGCTCTGCCGAGTCCGGCTTCCCCCTTGCAGGAGCGCTGCGGACTTGTCCAGGGTGCGGCTGCTTTGCTCCGGGTGTTTAAGGTGGGCATTTCGCTCTGCTGCCCAGGCTGCTCCGGACTCCTCCCCGAGCGACCCTCCCGCTTCAGCTCGGGTGCTGCTGTGGCCACGCAGGCTGGCTTTTCCTCACAGAGCTGTTTGGAGGCCGCTACGCCACCCGCCCCAGGGCCCTTGGCAGCCACTCGCGCGGGTTTGGCTCTGGCGCCCGACGCCGCTGTGCACGCGAGGCTGCACTGAGAAGAAAGGACTGCGGTGAAGTCGGGTCTGTGCCCGAGCCTGTGAACGGCTGCTTCTGTGCAAAGCGCTGCCGTACGGCCGTTCTGATGTGTGGCCCCTGCTTCCGTCTAAAAGAAAAGCCACGGTTACCACAGCCAGCTGAGTGTCCCCGCGTCCCTGGGCCTTTCCAAGTTCAGATTACGTGGTTTCCTGGGCCTGTGAAGTCTGATGGCACTGATTTGTCCCCGCAGGACATAGCGCAGATGTTTGTGAGAGTTGGAATGTGCGGGCAGGCCGTGACTGCCTTTCTGAGATGTAACCAGCCGAAGGCCGCTGTAGATACTTGCGTGCACCTCCACCAGGTAGGGCCTGGAGTCGCTGTCGGTGGAGTCTGTCGCCTTAGGGATTTTAAGTCAAAGCAAAATGAAAGTCGCCGTCGTGGCCCTGCGAGGGTCGGAGGCTTGAGGTGGACTTGGTGGCAGGGGCCAGCCAGGTTTCTCCCTGGGAGCGGAGGGCTGAGCGCGCTGGAGCTTGCACTGGGCCCTCGAGGGCCTGCGGGGAGCGGGGCTGCGCGTTCACAGTGGCTCACACGGCTCACACGGGAGCAGAAGCTGGCCTGGCTTTCCCTCTGGTGAGCTTTTGTCTGGAAGTAATTTCGCAAATTTCTGCATTTTATTAGGGCTGGGTTTTGATTCCAGAGAAGGACCAGTTAAGCTTGGTCATTGCCTGAGGGAGGAATTGAGTTCCTTCATCAGTGTTTATTTTGGCAAATCTGTTTTCCTTCTCCTCTCTGGAAAACATGCATTTGATATTTTTAGGAGTTGAAGTTTAACTGAAATTAAAGAGAATTATTTTAGAAACTGCTATCAATGTATTTTTGAAGTGTTTTCCTTAAAGTATTTTATAAAGCTTCATTTAGCTTATAAAAATTGTTTTTAGAGGTTGAACCAGGTAGTATTTTCTTAACCAAAAGTGCATATTTTGTTTTATGATAAAAAAAAATGAAAAGGTAAATCTTTTTCTGGCTCATAGCATGGACAAAAATAGAATCACAAGGCTAATGTGATTATGAACTTTGAAATTTTCTTTTTCGAATGCACTTGTTAAGTAAGTCTTAGACTACTTAATCGTCTGGCACACATTTAGCTTATAGAACTTAGAACTGCTCTGATTTTAAGGGCTTTTAAAAAGCATACCAGTCTTCTGTTTGGAAGTACTGTACTGCTGTCTGTTATTGCAGACTAAAGTCTTACTGTGTTATTGTGACATGTTAATGTGAATACTCAGGGAGTGAATGATACAGGTTTTTTTTCCCCTAGTGGAACAAAGCTGTTGAATTGGCTAAAAGTCATAACATGAAAGAAATTGGATCTCTGTTAGCTAGATATGCATCGCATTTACTGGAAAAAAATAAGACTCTTGAGGCCATAGAACTCTATCGAAAGGCCAGTTACTTTTTTGATGCTGCTAAGCTGATGTTTAAGGTAATGTAATAATCTTGGTGAGTAGCTGGTTTTGTTGTAGTTACAATGTTTTCCATATATATATATATAAAATCTGCTTAGAATATAGTTCTAAGCAGATTTTTCATTTTCTTTGGAAACAAATGTTTACTCCAGCAAAACCCCTCTGGTTTTATTACTGCTATTAACATTTGTTATTTTGATGTTATTATCTTTTACTAACAGGGCTATTTATTATCAATTTATTGATACCTAAACAATTGTAAATTTGGTACTGAAATTAATAAAGAATTAAAGAATTTTCTGGAATCACCAAGTACAAATTCTCTTAACTGGAAATTAAGAGTCCTTGTAGCTGTACAAATTTTTGAATATTACATTTTTCATAATGTCCATCTGAAAGGAATATAACAAATACCATATTAATCTATGCAAAATTTATATTTTGTTCTGTCATTTAGAAAATTAAATTTCAGTTAATTTTGGAAATGATTATATTTGTACAAATATAGATTCAGAAATATCTTCCCCAATTTTTTAACTGTTTGAGATTGCCGATGAGGAGGCGAAGAAAAGAGCTAAACCGCTGCGAGTGAAGAAGCTCTACGTGCTGGCAGCCCTGCTCGTGCAGCAGCACCAGGAGCAGGTGAAGAGCGCCCAGCGAGGGAAGGCCGGAGGGGAGAGTTCCGAGGTGAGGGCGGAGACGGGAGGCGCCGGGCGGGCGTCACTCCCCTCCTCACAGAGCGGCCCTTCCGCCCAGAGCCGGCACTAACGTCTCTGAATGGTACAAAAGAAATGCCCGATGTAGGGTTTCTGTTCAAATTCAGAAATTTCTACTTAGAAGTAAGGAAAAGTATTTTTAATAAAAGACTAATATGTAATCTTTGTTTTCAAATTTTACTTTTGGTAAAATTTTTACTACCTTGTAAATCTTTCTTTCCAATTAGAGAATTTTGAAAACTTTGTGAGAATATGGGTATTGGCCTGTGGAAGTAACATGTATACTACTTCACAGTGTGAACTTCTCAGAGTACCTTGAAGTTTAATCACTTCCGTTTTAAAATTTGATTGTAGCAGTGTACCAAAATATGAGTTATGATGTGTGTCGTGACGCTAATGTGTTAGGTCTCTGAAGTCACTTTCCTGGTAACCACCCTGGTGGCGTGGCAAGTGACAGACACGCGTGCGGGCTGGCTTTCCTCCTAGGCCGCTTCTGCTTTGGCTGGTTTCCTGGAAGAGGAAGTCCTGCCCACGGCTGGCCGGTTCACAGACAGCGCGTGGAGAGGGGCCGAGGCGTACCACTTCTTTGTGCTTGCTCAGCGGCAGCTGTATGAGGGCTACGTGGACACTGCACTGCAGACAGGTAGGCATGCCGCCCGGTGTGCACGGTGTGCCTGGGAACCCCCAAACTGCGTGTGGAAGGCCTGCTCTTTCAGCTCGCTCTTATATTAAGTTCAGTAGCCTTTTCCCTGTGGATTTATCTTCATATGTTTGAGATTACGCCGTGTGAAATTTTTGTACATCCCCCTTTTGAAACTTAAAAACTTTTTTCTAGTACATAGTAGTACATGTAGTTTACAGAAATATCAGAGCTTTGATATAAGCGGAAAGAAGGTATATAGGGTTCATGTGCTGTCCATCAAAGTTAAACACATAATAGCTCAGTCCCTATCTTTCTGGAAAGCTATATCTAAATCTATACTTATATCAAACTTGGAAAAACTTTTTTCAAACTATAACGGCATACTTTGTATACTTAAAAAATAACATTATGAAGTATTTTCATATTGCATACATTTCTATAGCATTTGTTTTATTTTTTTTAATAAAAATGATTCTTATAATTTCAACCCAAACAAAACAAATATAAAGAAAAAGATAAAATAATCTTAAAACTCAGAGATCATCATTGCTAGCCTTTGGGTAAACTTCCTTTTAGATATTTCTCCATGCTTGAGCTTGCTTTTTCCCTTCAACAGTATGTTGTGATTATCTTCCCTCATTGGTAATCATAGATCTGTATCATTTTTAATGTATATAATATTCCATGATCTTCATGTACTATGATTTATAGATTATTTACATACAGTATCTGGATCTAGATATCTTCTGGGTTATCTATATTTTAGAGCCTAAATATACCAACGCCAGAGAACATAACTGAGATGAGATACATCATGTTACAAGCTGGAGCAGCACATTACTGCTCCCACGGCGTAGCCCTGTCAGTTCCCCTCCCTTCCATTCACACTGTGGGCGACCCTGCGGTTCTCCATCTGCTGCCTGGGTTGTGCTTGGACATCACTAAGTGTCTGTCACACCTGAGTCCTGATGGATCTTGATCTGTATTCTTTTTTTTTTTTTTTTTTGAGACAGGGTCTCACTGTGTAGTTCAGGCTGGCCTCAAACTCACAGCGATCCTTCCGCCTCACCCTCCTGAGTGCTGGGATCATAGGGGTGCACCACCACAACTGGCTTGCTCTGTATTTTAACAGGATTATTTCAAAAAATTTTTAGATAAATTCTTGTAATTGAATGTCTCTAGAATTCTGTAAGGGTGATTTTTTTTTGTTATTTGTATGAGTTCTTCAGGGATTATATGTAATCTCTTTTATATATTGATTCCCCCAGCATTTATAAATTACCATTACTTAGCCTTTCCGTTTCTTTTTTATGAAAAGTGAATATAATGGTATCTTCTGCATAGAACTGTTTTAATGATTAAGTGAGAAGTTCCTGAAGAGAAAATTGACTTAGAATGGTGCTGGCCTTGTGGGCCCTGAGTGAACTCTAGCTGTGATGGCGATATTAACGGTGTTTTAAAAGGTCATGTCCAGCAGCCCTTTGCGTGCTTCACTTAGGAGTCTTTCACTTCAAGGTTATTAAGTATTATATTTTATAGTAAGTTGTCTTGTTATCCTAAAAGCATTTATCAAAATGTGTTCTGCCCTTACAGGTTTGAAATTCTACCTTCAGAAAACTCAATTTATATATATGCTTAATTCCACCCTATATTATTATTATCTATTCATGTATTTCTGTGCTGGTATTTTCATCTTATTATTTTTATATTTAATATCTGGGATTTAAGCTATTTCCCTGCTTTTTGAAAAAGATTGCTGGGTATTTTCTCATATTTGTTCACCCAGAGCAACTTAGTCTTTTAGAGAGTAGGAAGAGTCTCTGTGAGCTCCCATTGGGTTAGAATTGCATTAACTTGATATATTAATATTGGGGTCCTTGGTATGTTTGCAAGTGTTCTCACCTAGAACACCAGTTTTAAAAACCCATTTGTGTGTTGCCTAAAGATTTATAGTTTTCTTCTTTTATGCTCTAGACATTTCTTTTGCAGCTTATTCCTGTTCTTGTTTTATTGGTGCTAGATCTGTATAAGAGCTTCTCTCACTGATCCGTTATATACAAGAATTATTATATTTTTATAACTGACCTTCATTTAAACTAGCTAATATGTAAGTAATTCACTGTGAAAACCATATTTTATACAATGTCTAGGCTTATAGCAAAAGAAAAGTTAGACCTTAGAGATTCTTCACCAAGAGGTGAAGATATCCATATACTTCAGATTTTTTTGTCTTTCAGTGATAAAATTATCTGAACCAGTATATGGCCTATAAAGTATTGCCTGTGAAGCCGTTATGTTTCAGGTATGAAATTAGACAGTAATATTTACTGTAATTGAATATATTTCTACAAATGTCTTCCACTAAAGTTTACTGTCAACACTTGAGCTTTTGAACCACTTTATGGTAATCTAATTATAAAGTACATGAATATATTTTATACTTACGTGTTGTATGAAAATTCCAACATACCAAATAAAATATTAAGACTGCAAGGTGTAAAGAAGAAAAAGAAACAAATTAATTACAAATCTGGTATTAATTCTGCAGTACATTTTTAAAGAAAGATAGCATCGCAAGTATAGAAAAATTGCCAATAAGGGATAGCGGCTGTCAGAGTGGAACATGTGAGCTGGCAGGGTAGGGCTCATTTTCACTTCTTTGTCTTACAGGTGTGTTGTTCACTGCAACAAACAAGCATTAGCCAAGTCAAGGAAGCACAAGTGTATGGTTCCATGTTGCTTTGCCTTTTTAGAAAAAGAAATGTGATATTGAGAATTATGAATAACACTGTATTAATTTTTCTGGAATGACACTGAAATTTCTAACTTAAATGGAATAAGAGATGGATGTTTCAACACTAGAAACTTTTTTGTCTGTGTGTATCTTTTTAAGTTGGCTCAACCATGTGCATCATTTGGTGGTGAATTAAACATTTTAAAAAAAATTTTTCAGTTTTGTGGTACTGGGGATTGAACTCAGGACTTTGTGCATGCGAGGCAATCTCCCACTGAACTACTCCCGCAGCCCTTTTTATTTTAGTTTGAGACAGTGTCTCCCTAACTTGCCCAGGCTGGTCTTGAATTTGTAATCCTCCTGTGAGACTCGGAGTAGCTGGGATTACAGTGTGCACCGCTGGTCCTGCTGTGGTGGTCGTTATTTTTAGAGGACCTGAGGGGTTAGTTGGCTTCACAGAACCTGGAGATCATATATCCTACCAGTGTACCAGTTTCTCAGTGTTTTTCTCTTGAAGTTTGTTAAAGTTTATGGAAGTTAAACTAGAACACAACGTATAATCTTTCCTTGGAGAATTCATGATCCCATTTCAAAGCCTCAATTGTCCTCTTTCCTAGCTTTTCACCTGAGAGACTATGAAGACATTATCCCTGCCGTTGAGATCTACTCTCTGTTAGCACTGTGTGCGTGTGCCAGTAGAGCTTTCGGCACTTGTTCAAAAGCTTTTATTAAACTGGAATCTTTAGAGACCCTGAGTTCAGAACAGAAACAGCAATATGAAGATCTTGCTCTAGAAATCTTCACCAAGCATACTCCAAAAGATAACAGGAAGTCTGAATTGGACAGCCTTCTTGAAGGGTAGGCTAATTAATCAGTAGATATCGTTGTACCTTACTAGAAGCTTAGATTGCTGTATGTTTAATGTGTAATACAATAATGAAAGCATGGAATTTTGAAGTAACTTACCTTAACAATACACTCTGTTATTTATCTTAGAAGTCTGTTAATGCTTTATTTTCTCATTGTAAGTAAAGTTTTTATTTGAAAAACACTTTTTGAGGTAACAGTATTTCATTTGAACTTTATCTTGAAATATTTTTCATTCTTCAGTTTTCAGATATATTAAATAAATTAGGTGAGATTGCATAGAGATGTCAAAGTGTAATCAGATTTTTCCCGCTCATGTTTGCAGTGGAGAAGGGAAGCTGCCCACGTGTGTGGCCACGGGAAGGCCCATCACCGAGTACCAGTTCTGGATGTGCAGTGTGTGCAGGCACTGTGTGCACGCTCAGGAGATCAGCAGCTGTGCCTTCTGTCCCCTGTGCCACAGTGCAGTGGGGTAAGCACAGGTGCGTTGTGCATAACTCACATACGCAGAGCTTGTAGACCTGCCTATAGCTGTCTGTGTAATAAGGTTGATTTCCATTGGTTTTATTTTTTTATTTTTATTTTTAAATTTTTTTTTGTACTGGGGATCGAGGATCGAACCCAGGACCTTGTGCTTGCGAGGCAGGCATGGTGCCACTGAGCTAAATCCCCAGGCCTCTATTGGTTTTATATGAAAATCAGCTTCATTATTTTGTAGTTGTATTTTTGCACAAAATATGTATATGAAGATAAGAGGTTAATTTTTGTACGGGAATACAATTATGAATTAATGAGGCTAAGTAATGTAAAACTTAGGAAGCTAACCTCATTTTCTTTCTTTTTTTTTGATACTGGGGATCGAACTCGGGTCCTTGCGCTTGTGCAGCAGGTGGAGAAACCACTGAGCTAAATCCCCGGCCCACCTCATTTTCTACCTAGCTATCATTTGTATGTTTTATGATTGGTTATATAACACTGAAAATATTCCAAATAAATATTTTTCTGCCATGTCAAGGTTACTAATTCATTATAAAATATTGGGGAGGTAGATGGGGGATGGAGGAAGCATGTGAGTGAGCAAAGTTGAATTTGGAGAATTGACACTAAACCTGTATTATAAAGAGGTTGACTAATAGGAAATGAACTCTGACTGGGGATATGGCTCAGTGGCACTGCGCCTGCCTGGCAAGTGTAAGATCCTGAGTTCGATTCCTGGTACCTAAAAAAAACCCAACATAGTGGAAATGAGCTCTGTCTCTAGCTGTGTTTACTTAAAACCAAGGGGCATTATGGTGGGTAAAAAACACCCAGACCATATTTCTCTAATGGAAATGCATACTTTAGCATAGTGGTAGCCGGCTGTGCATCTCAATAGCTGTGCTGGGGAAATCAGAAAGCAATCTTAGTGTTCACCCACGTGGTACAAAGAAGAGCAAGGTGTGTGCATGTGTGTCAAAGTGTAGATGAGTGAGTTTACCCACATTATGCACCATGTTACATTTTTGTGTATTTATAATTTGTTTTACTAGGTGTTTTCTTGTGATTTTTCGTGTAGAATTAGCCCAGTTCAGTCCAACATCACATTAAAATCTGCTTTTACAACTTTGGGAGGAGGTTGAAAGTGAGTCATCAGGTGACTCGGCTACCAAGGATGACTTGGATCCTGTAAGCCAAAGAAGTTAGCAAGGTATGAAAGTAGACAGGTATAGGATGAAGACTTTTATTCAGATGAGGTAGAAAATAGTAATGTAAATAAGTATTTGACTAGTCAAAATACTACAAAGTGGTAATGTATACTTGCATGATCCAGTGTTAGAACTAGGTTGGAAAATGTTGTTAGGTTCTTTTGGGGAGGAGGGGATACCAGAAATTGAACTTAGGACCGCTTGCCAGGCAGGAGCGGTGCCACTGAGCTACATCCCCAGCCCAGTTATTACATTCTTGCCAGGGTGAAACCTATTGGTCGGAATGCCAGCACTGCAATGCAATGTTGGCAGTTGTTTCTAATGGACGATATGCTGCAAGATGTTGTGAAATACACTAATAATGAAATACAAGTAAAACATTCTATATGCACCAATAGTAATACTCAAATATATTTATCATGACACATCCCTATCTGAACTAAAAGCTTTCATAGCAGGACTTTATCATTCTAATCGTCAGAATCTAAAGGATTTATGTGTGGAGAAGTGAGAGATGTAGCATTGAGATTTTTAGAACAATAATGACACTCGAGATTTGGTTTCTTTCAAAATCGTCTACATTTTGATGACAAAAAGACCCTCCAAGAAAGAAAAAATCTGACAGTTTGGCTGCTATTTGCTCATCTTTTTCTTTGTCCCGAACTGTCAAGCAATTTACGCACCATCCGAATGCATGACAATGGAACAATTTGCATCATTTCATGGTTGTTGGAGTTTTTGGCAATATATGTCAAATGAACCTTCCAAATATGGTATAAAAAATACACCCTGGTAGATGCGAAGACATTTTACACCTTGAATTTAGAGGTTTATCCTGGAACTCAGCCACCAGGTCTGTACTGGTGCAGTAATAAGCCGTATGATGCTGTGAACAGCCCTGTTGCACCTACTTCAAAAAGTAGCCCAAACGTCACATTCGACAATCAGTTTACTGGTTACCCATTGATATTATATTTGCTAAAAGAACACCAGTTGACCAGCGCAGAAACTGATCACAAGAACAAAGCGGAGATTTCCAGAAAAAATGTTGCAAATTCACAATAGAGAAATGTATAGTACAGTCTTTGGATTTCAGAAAAATGTAAGATTGGCCTTCTAGATGGTGAAGAAAAACAAAGCAGTAAAGTTTTCAGCATCACACCATCATGATGATATTGATAGTGAAGCAGGGCATGGGGCATGGTGGTGCACTCCTGTAACCCTAGCACTCAGGAGGTTGAGGCAGGAGAATCCTGTGAGTTCAAGGTCAGACTGTGCTACATAGTGAAACCCTGTCTCAAAACAAACAAGAAAAAAAAGATTGATAGTGAATCCTCAATACAAATGAAGCCAGAAATGGTCACATTTTACAACAAAACGAAAGGCGCAGTAGATGCTGTTGGCAAGTTACGCGGTAGCTATGATGTTGCTTGAAACACAAAGCTTTGGGCAATGGTTGTGTTTTACGCGATCCTAAACGTCAGGCATAAATAGCTGCATAGATTACAAAGAAAATAACAAGCACAAATTATCACGGAGAAATTTCCCAAAGGATTGGGTCTGGAATCGATAAATGATCAATTACAAGAGAGGAAGAACAGTATGTATCTGCCCAGAGAACTCCGCAAAGAATTCTGGAGAGACCGGTGCACAGACAGGCGAACACGGCCAGGGCCCCTAAGGAAACAGGAAGAGCAGCGAGACGTCAAGGGCGTCCCGCCAGGGAAGACGGGAAAGCAGTGCACACGCCACGCGCTGTCAGTGTCAGTGCGACTCGTGTACGCACGTGCTGTGTCATAACTGAAGCAAAGATTATTTCTGAGGTAGAGTTTTGTTTGTATTTTCATTGTGGTTCACATAGGTATTTATTTCTGCTGTTATTTGTTAGATCTTGTAAACAGTTGATGTTTGTTCTACACACTAATTACATATTAAAATTTAATATTTTATTTTCTGGTTAAGTACACATGGTTCAATATAATAAAATTTTTAAAGTTAAAAAATTAATAATTCACCAGTAGAAATACTCCTAAAAAAATAAACATGGGTGTTACCCCCATAATGATGTTCCTTTTCTAAAAATTTATTTGATGCCCCATAAACTAAACAAGTATTAAATGTTTTCTACGTTCTATTTTTAGAAATGAGGAGATGGCATTTTAAGACCCTTTTTATAACTTGAATTGTTTTTTAAATCTTATTTTAAAGAAAAGTCATTTGACATTTACTCTTATACTATCGTGTAGAAAGTTTGGCTGCACTGATGAGATTTGACACAAACATACCTTTTTTTAGGATTTTCATAGATGCTATTTACTTAATTTCAATTTTTATTTTTTTAGTCCCCTTCTGCAGTACACAATGACCACACTCCTTGTGGACAGGACACAGTTCAGTTCTATTTTCACCCTCCCCCTTTCCTCTGTCCCCCTCCCTCATCTCCTGGTCCCCTTCCCATTTGAGAATGATCTGTCTCCCTACTTCCTAATATCTATGTTCTATTTTGCTCTTTATTTATATTTTGTGTTTCTCATATAAGAAACCATGTGATATTTAATCTCGTGTGTCTGATTTATTGCACTTAACACTGTGGTACCAAGATGCACCTACTTTCCTACAAATGACTCAAGCTTATCCTTCTTTATTGCAGAGTAATACTTCGTTGTATATAAATACCACATTTTCTTTATCCATTCATCTGTTAACATATAGGCCACTTCCAAGATTAAGCTATTATGAATTGTGTTGATATAAACATGGGTGTGTCTTTAACTCAGGAAGATACCTAGATGGGGAATAGCTGGTTCAAATGGAATTTCTAACTTTAGTTTATTGAGAAATCTCCCTGCTGTTTTCCATAGTTGTACTAATTTACATTCCCCTGAACAAGGTAGGAGGGTTTCTTTTTTTCCACAGCCTTGCCAGAATTTATTATTTGATTTTTTTTTTGTATTAAATCCTTTTATTGGTACATTGTAGGTATACAACACAATTACATTCTCATTAGGAATTGTACCTTTACATAATGCATCTTGGTTCTTATTTTTTCTCCATTCCTAGCCCTCCCTTCAGCCCCTCCACCCTTCCCTATTTACAAAGACTTTATTTCCATTTTTTCCATTTCTCAGCATTTTTCCTTTCCCCTGCCCCTCCCAC